CACTTTTTTGGTGCAAAACTTCAATAATAATGGAGGTTAACTGAGAAAAAAAGTATACATGTTCATGAGCGTTTCTGTGATCAGAAACTGCATGTGTGAAGAGCTCTTCCTCTTCAGAGTAAACAGTGGAATCCTGACTTTGATCCATATCTGCATGTATCTTCTTTAGTAAAGAATCAAGACACAGGAGATTTACCCCTCTACCCGTCCCTTTTCTCCCAGCAAGCCTCTCCAACCGTTAACTTCAACACAGTACTTGATATTAAAACCCATGTTGGAAGGAGATGGGACAATGGCAAGTTATTAGCAACTTGTAATATAACAAGGGTTTGGTTCACTTAAGTTTAGGATTTACACTGATAGAACTACAGTGCATTGATTGCTAGCAGGAAATGCCAGAGCACCAGAATTAGTCTTCCCCACTTCTGCAAAAGAACAAGGCAATTGATGGCAAAAGCAAGATACAATATTTTGCTGAATATAGTTTGTGAGCACCACATTCTTTTTTTTTTTTTTCTTTTTTTTCCAACATGCAACTTTAGCTTTAAGCTTTTGTGTGTGCTATGAGACATGCATAAGTAAAAATGAGTGCTATTAGGTAATTATCATAAACACCTTACATAGTAACTCAAAAAAATCAAGGGAAGCTTGTTTGTTAGAGAGGAAGAACATGATGTGAAGAATATGAAAATTGCCTATATAATGCTGGCACAGAGATGCCTCTTAAGCCATTTTATCAGCAAAAAGGAAGCAATGTCTGCTGGTAACAGCTAAAGATCACATTCTAATTTTAACAGTTGCAGTTAACTCATTCCCAATGGAGTTGCACTTACCGTGAGAAGGTTTCTAACTGCTTCAGCGCTGAAAGGAAACAAGCATTGAGTCATTCAACTGTGTTTCTATATGCAAATATGCTTCTTGGCCCATGAAGGGAAAGCATATGGAATCTGCAGCTATAACCCTTCCAGTCAAACCTTTCCAGACATTTCTTATAATGCAAATGCTGAAAAAAATGTCATTTTCCACACAATATTTTAGCTGTCCCTGTACAAATATAATTGACAGCACACACACATGTTCTATTAATGGACAGAGTGTTATGTATAGAAACATATTGCATACCTAGAACTGGTAAGAAAAATAAAAATCTACAGATACTAGTTTTATTTACAAATTGTCATATGTAACGCAACAGATATTAAGCTGATATATTACATTCTCGTTAAGTTTCACTAGACCACATAAGAATTTTCCCAATTACTATATAAGACCCAGAATGGTAATTCATTACAAAGAATTTAATTTCACACACTGTAGCCATTTTTTGCATTAACCTCTAACAGAGCCTACAATAGAATCTACATTACAGCTAGTCAACAAAATGGAAATAAAACTCAGAAAGATTCCTTACGGCAAAGGTGATTTAGTACAATGATCTGAATAAAATTCTTTATAGTTATGAGACTACTCTCTGATCTCAATTATACACATAGGGGTAGGACAATCCCAGCAGCTAATATCAAACTATATTAAAAGGAAATAAGTAGAGTCCTTTGGTGGGTAGTGATGAATATAAGGCTCTTTAAAGAGTGATTTTTCAGTGAATCATGTAAATAGATTTGCACTTTAGAATAAAAACTTGAGCGAGTTATTTTAGAGTAGGAAATCAGAATTTCTTTTTCATTCAGGAAGTGAATGAATAAAGAAAAATGTGAAAATATTAAATTCATTAAAGTTCAACATAAAATCGTGATGAAACTTTACGGTAAGTGCTTTTGAACTGTTACCTACTTCTCACCTAGATTAATTCCTGCTTTGATTGTGTGACTGAACACAGATGTTGAAATCCCAAGTAAGCTGAACTCACGCAGGTGTCAGAAGTGCCTAATAGGCATTCAGGTCGTGGTCTTAAAATTCTAGGATAATTCCAAGGATTGCCTTGGAAAAATTAGACTAGTTGTAATTTCTATAATTACTTTCCGTGCTCTGAATACTTAGAACCCTACTCATCTATCACTACCAATACCCTGGAATCTGAACAATCTGACATACAGTATTGAACTTTAGAGAAATATGATTGGAGCTTTAATTCAGAGGTGGGAAGAATGATAATAATTTCTTTTAAAATATCATTTAACATAAAAGTATAGGCATAAAAACATACTCAACTTAGCTACTGAAAGACAATAATGTTTTGAATGCTTATGTTATACATCTTTGGCTTGGTTACAATGAAATCAAGTGGCACCTCATTTAGTTTAGAAGCATTACTGTGGTATAATTTTTTAGCTAAATGTCTAAGAATACCTAGACTTACTGCTGGAGGTTTTATAGAAATATGTACCTTAAACCTTAATTCACTGCACAAGCAAAAATATTTTTGGACAGAAATGAAAACTGTTATGTACCATCCAATTCAAACATTATACTGAAAAAATATTGTAATTAGCATATGTCTTTCTCACATGTATTTTTAACAAATACACATGATAATACATACAGGACTCTGATGCAGAAAAATAGGGAAACATGCCTTAAAAAACAAGTTGGTATCTCGACTCAAATGTGATTATTTTTTTCTGAACTGAGCAATCAGCACATTTTTTAATGGCTGCAAACTGGCAAGTGAAGTATTTTCCTTTTTCATTCTATGGTAGGACTGGGTAAATTGTGTTTTGTTTTCACAGTCATCTCCTCCATACATAAAATATCTTTTCCCATTGCCATTGTGTGCATTCAACTATGTCATAGCCATGCTCAACTGTATGAACTCCTATCACAAGACAGGTCAATTGTTAGAGACCAATGCCTATTTCATCTTCTCTCCCAAGGAGCAGAACATTTAATAGCTGTCTGGAAAATCAGTACACTATTAGCAGCAGGACCAGGTAGGGCTTTCCACTTCAAGTTACAAAGGCCAGAGGCCAATGAAAGCCAAGAATAGAATGAGCTACACTATATCTCTTTCAAATAATCTTAGAATAAGGGTGAAAGGAATCTAAAAAAACAAAGGAAAAAGTTAGGAAGGAGAAAACATCCCTGGAGTTATGGAAGGAATCAACTGGAAAAAAATTTAAAAAAATAATAAAAAAAAAATAATAAAAAAAGGAAAAAAGAAAAGAAAAGAAAAAAAAAAAGGAAAAGGAAAAGACTTGCAAGAGAAAAGGAACAATCTCACATGAAATGGAGTTTCAAGGGATAGAAGTTGCTGTCTCACACTAATTACAATTTTGAATGTTGCACTGTGTTGTGGCTGAGGTACTATTACTCCTGGTGTGCTGATACCACGGAAGGAAGGTAAGTGCCTGTGTACTTGTGCTAGACCTACAGCATTAGGTCTTATCAGACTGGAGAAAACCATCCAGGAGTGGCTCAACCAATGCAAGTTCTTGAGCACTGCCTGCTGCACTTCTTTTAGTGATGCACTTTTAGACGCTAGTTTTTTTGAAGGACAATCACTGAGGTTATATTCCCCTCTGATCCCCATACAAGGGCCTTTCAAATGCCATTCAAATCATTAAAAAAGTAAAGAAAACAGCAGATAGAGTCACAACATCTAAACTCCTGTTTGTCCATCATCATCAATGCAGAGTTGGAGACGGCACATGTTCTGCTTCACTCAGAACACAGGTAGAACTCAGTTCTACCTCAGCCCTGGCAAGGAATGGCCTCTGCAACCATGGAGATGGAGAGGGATATTTGAGCAGACATAGCTATCTCAGATGAGTGTTTTTGCAAAGGTAAGACTCATATCATTATAGTTCAATCACTTAGAATTTAAACATCTAAACTAGCTGTCTGGGCTACATCTAAGATCAGTTGGGAGACATAGCTACTGTCAGCACAGGACTCATATTTTTTGACAGGCACCTCTCTATAATAAAAGGGAATAAAAGCATTTAAAACTTCTAAACCAGTTGGTGGCTTAGGTTACCTGTCACATTTTGGTGATATACTCACTAGGGACTTGTTTGATAGTGGCTGTACACACTGAGCAGTATCAGACAAGCACTGAATTTTATCACTGAGGTAGACATCAGAAGCCTAAGAGCTTATCATTCTCCTACTGTTATCACCGAATTCCTGAACCTCTCATGCAAAAGAAAATGGAGTACAATGTTTAAATTATCTTGAAATAACCACCAAATTACCACATATGAATATCTACCATAAACCAAATTAAATATGTGTATTTTTCTTGGTTAGCTCTACATTTACATATATTATCCTACTCTTATTTTATTATTAACATTTTTTCTTTGATTGATAGCCTTTCTAGGCCTGTGAAATAATCACAGAATTGAAGATCAGTCTGATGTTACTTGCCCTAATAATCCCCTTGCTTAAAAGCTAAGGAAGATTTTAAAGTGCTTCTAAATAAGAAATCCAGCTTACAAAAATAACACTAACTTCTTCTCATAGGTTGAGTTTAAAACTGGGAAAGGACAGATCTTAGCAGAGGAAAAAAAAAAAAAAAAAAAAAGAATAGAGGAGCTTCCACAAGCAATCCTGTGATATCAAACTCTTCTGGGAAAAGTAAGCGTTAATTAAATTTTACCAATTAATTTGGAAATGACAGACTGAAGAAGATTGTTACCTTAGTTGGAAATGAATTAATATTCCAGAAAAGACACTGACTGCTATATATTTCTCTCTTCTGTGTTATGTATTTTTCCTAGTTCTGAAAATTTTAGTGTAGCCTCCATTGTGGAGACTCATGCACTTTGCTGCGTGATCAGCCACAAACTTCATTGTATTTGAACTACAATTAATAACACTTAAAAAGTTCTAACCTCTGCCACATAAAGTATAAGACTGAAAAAGTGAAACACCGATAAAGTTAATAAGCGAGAGATGAAAATTGGGTGTACACTTTGATATAACGTGGCTCTTCACTGTAACACAACCTCAAATAATGACAAAAACTGTTATTCAAATAGCGAATCAATAACATGTATGCAGTTAAGCCTCTTTCCCTGCTTCAATTTCATTTCTCTTACCTGGTCTCTTCCGTGGCTATAAAGAAACCATCATCTGAAGCATCAAGCCAATTTTGCCGCTGTCTCTTTATCACTGGAATGGCGCTTGTCTTAATGGTACTTGCACTGGCTTGCAAGGCCTTACCATTAGTTATATGAACACGGGGAGCAGCATGCTGAAATCATAACAAAAAAAGAAAAAAAAAAAAAAAGAAAGATATTTGCCAGGGAACAAGAATAGTTCTCTTAACTGATTCTGCTGTAAAGGGCAGCCTACACACACTGTCATTCTCAAAAAAACAGCTAACTTTTCTCAAACAAGTACCTACCAATTAGATAACATCTCCTGATCATCTGTGCACAGTGACATGTTTTAGCCACAGAACTGAAAGCTTTTTAAAACCCACTTGTAAAAGGAGAAGCAAAGCATGAATTAATGTCATGAACCAAGCAAGTTTGCAACAGAATTCTGTTGATTTTGGGAGCAAATTCATTTTGCAAATTTTTCTGATCAAAACTCAGTATCCCAACCAATTATTCGTTTTTTGATCTGAGTACTGCATTAATCCAATAAACAATAAAAAAATCCACATTTCTCACTTTATAGCTCCTTAATGTATCTGGCTTTATTTTAAATAAAAATCACTATATGGGACAAGAACCCTGGTACTGCTGTAAAAATTTTTTACATCATCTAGGCAGTTGCCATAGTTCGTCAGCTGACCCACCAGTCATTATATATATTCTAGAGCTGACTGCAAAAATTCTACCTTCATTTTAACACAGATAACATTAAACATAAAATGGAACATTGATCCATCGCTACATGTTGGACTAATAGTTTAGCAAGATTTAGATACAACAGGTGTTGTCTCAGAAGGCTGCCTTCTGATATGCATGCAAGTAGAGAGCGCAAGTGTTCTCTGCACTGTCTATAAGAAACATTTTGGAGGAAAATTCCATGACGAGTGCATTAATTCTTGAATTTAGAGTCTTGTTTGCTGCGCAACCAGTTGTCAGTAGGATTAAGTAATTGCAGTATTTGATAAAAATAGACATGTTAGAAGACATATGAATTCGAAAGTTTTGCTTATTTTATGCCACATGGATTCAGCATCATGTTCCCTTAGGAAAAAGTATTATTTCTTGCTGAAATAATCCAAGTATTCCTCATTACTGATTGTATTTTTGTCTTTCTGTGTAATGTTCACAAAACGTGCCCAATTCTGTGCACTCATGGGAGTAGCCTCTAATTAAGGGGAAAAAGTCTGCAGTCCTTCAGAAAAGAAGGTGCTGATAACATGTACAAAGTTTGGCAGAACACATGAAGCTGATCTCTGAAATCATGCCCACAAAAATGTAACAGCCAAATATTACACTTATATTTAATGTATTTCATTCCCACTGTGCCACAATTTTTGACACACCCCAATCCAGACCACTTACTCCCTATAATAGGACAAATTTTATTCATTTGAGCACAAATTCCAGGATTCATTACTTTAGTGTAACAAACTGAACAATCACCTCTAAGTTTTCTTAGATGCAATGGGGAAAGCAACAACTTAAGTGAGTCACAGATAATTCTTTCTTTGAACAAAATTATATACCTTTGCCTTAGAGACAAAGAAGGTTTGTGGTGAATTTAGCTGCTGTTGCACACAGGGCGACAAATCTTCCCTTGTAGGCCCTCTAATATTTGCCTAAATTTTTCCAGGTTTTCATTCACTGTCTAGACTGCAGTTTGATTTTCACATTTTGTTGTGTTGGCTTTGGTGGGGAGAAACAAGCAATGAAAATGCTGCTAGAAGTAATTCAGCTGTTATTTACAATAAAGTTAGGATAAAATACATAGTTTGGATAAATTTAAAAATCCAAGTTATTTAACTGATGATGTCTTAGTGCACAAAATGGATACTGCTCAAAAAGTGAGCAACAATTCATGCATAGAAAATGCAGTCATACAGCCCAGATGTACTGATTTCACACTGTATTCAAAGTGATTATTTTTACCTGGCAGTGAGCAGTGCCACACATTACAGAGGACCATTCAAGGGATTGAAGAGCAATTTTTTTTTGCTTCCCCAGACAGAAACAAGTTTAAGTTCTCACACAAAATGGTTAGTATCTTTTCCTTTCTAATATGCCACTGAATGTTTTCTTCACTTAAGTCACTCATAAACATGCAAAGTATGTTCAGGAATCATGCAACATACAAGAAGTGCATTTCCTACAGCAAAAACTTTGTAAAACAATTAAGCCTTATAGAAAAATTATGGTTTTTTTTTTCATAATACTTTTTCCGTGGTAAAGACGGATGTCAATGCTAGTCCTGCACTGGTTTGTTTTTTTTCCCATTTCTCAGAATCTAATTCTTATTCCAGGCAAGATATAGTATTACAGAAAATAGTGCAAAGGTTACAATATCGTCTCCTCTCTCTCACATCATAATGATTATTGTTTTTCCTTGTATTTCTCTTCTCCATGAGTCCTTTCAATTTATTCAGAGAAATTAATTATGCTTTGCTTAAAGACCAGTCTGTGTGCAGGGGACCACATTATCTTCAATTTCCAGTTAATAGGAACAACTGAACTTCTCAAACAATTTAAAAGTAGAAAAATCAGTTCAATTAGTTCCTCTAAAAAAATATATATTTACCGTTGTGTATTAAAATGAGCTTTCAGTGAAATGGTCATACTGACAATACCCAGAGCAAACAGACCTTTCATACTAAGTACTTAAATGCTTTTTCTTTTTCATTTTTTTTTCTTTTTTGTTTTTTTTTTTTTTCCTCCATGTTTCTCTTTTTTGTTTTTCTCTCTGAGCATACACCATTGTAGAAGGATTATGGAAGCCTCAAGAATATTGCTAGCACTGCCACAGGATCTCTACTCAGTCAAACACCACGCACACAGAATGCTATGATAATTTCATTGTAATGCTATTGTGTGCAACTTTGGCATTTTGATTTTGAGTATTTACTAATAAGCTGTGCTGCCATTTTCAACAAATCGCAGGTATGTTGAGTCCACATAACAGAAAACTGTTCCACACCCCAAAGACACTATGAGAAAACTTCTGAGAGCAACTGGAAGAGAAACACAAAGCACAAGAAGGTGTGGTTTGGGCAAAGCCTCCTAGGGGTAAACTGAGGAAATAAATGTTTAGAGTCTGCCCATGTGTCACAACAAATAACTCCTTGAAACACATTTCTGAGCTCAAGTGAGATGCCTAGAAAGGCACCTCCACACCACAGTTTGATGTTAGGCCCAATAGAGAAAAGTGTCCTGATCATGTAATGTTTCAGTGCGTTAATAAATGCACGCACTGAAGTTTTGGTGAGAAAACAAAGCTCTCACCAGTCAGCCTTACAACCCAAGCAGGGAATAAAAAATCCCCATCACAACTTTAAGGCAACAATGGTGCATTCAATAAGGATTGGAGCACAGAGTGATCTCTTGTAAAAGTTTCACCTGCCAGGAAGGAGGTTTCCATGCTGAGGACTCTAAGACGTTCTCAGAGGCTTCTGAAAACAAGTCATCTTCTGAAGGTGTTCAGCAAGTCTCCAATGATGAGTTTATAGGATGATCATGTGTTTGTCACAGCAGCTTCACAGTGCCATCTGTCCCCCACTACAACATTTCTGCAGGGGTGCTATTCTCTGGTATTTAATCCACACGCAGGCAGGTATGCAGCTCCGTTTTTGACAGCTGCTTGCAAGTGCTGCTAATCAGCACCCACCTGGCAGGGACATGACTTTCCCATTTGTGTACACAACTCTTCATTTCCTAATGAGCGCAAGTGAGGCACCTCCAATTCTCAGTGAACGCAATACTCTTTTTCACACAGAAGATACATTAAAAAAGTGTTTGAAGTAAGCACATAACACCAGCAGGCACTATAAGCGTAATGTAAAAATTAATGAGGAATGTCTATGCTGGCTGTGACTGAAAAAATGTTTACCTGGATTATCGTAAAATCCTAATTGGCTTTGAATTTTTCATACCAAACTCTCTTCCCATACTGAAAGGACATTTTTCCATGGCCTAAATCAGTGGGTTTTGTTTGTGGTTTACATTTTTTCTCATATAAATTTTTTTCTCAAACAAAAACCAACGGTAAGATAAGATCTCTAAACAAAGAAAAAAAATCACCAGAGGAAATCACATGTGCCCAACATGATTGGCAGTAATTCATAGTAATTGCTTCAATTTATTTAATTGACCTAATTATACAAGATATCATGTAAACCACATCTAGACACTGAGTTTAAATTAGGTATTGAATTTTCTAAATTATTATTTTTTTTGCCACATCTAAGCAGTTCTTATCTGCTCAGGCATTATCCCTCTCAAAAGAATCAAGGTTTGGAGCTGGTTTAGCTTACTTAGGGAGACTTGTGACAAATGCAAAAATTACAAAACATGTTTACATGGATTCACTTCTGGTATAGAACTTCATTCAAGAAACCTGAAGGCTATTAAAAGTAATCAAAACAATAGATCATATGCAAGAAATTAAACAAATAGTGTACAGTATCATTTTGAACATTCTGATTGCTACTTGGTCTTCAACAAAATACCTGGACTGGAATTAATTCTGAAAATCGTAGTCAATGACTTCTGTGCAAGAAGACTAAAAAAAGGCTTACTTTCCAAAGAAGCCAGGCTAAACTACTACCATGTTCATAGCATTTAACAGAATTTACACAAAAGCTATGTAACCTCTGAATAAACCACATCGTTAAATGCAGCACTTTGAAGTAAGTATTTATATAGATCAATTTAGTAATGAAAAACCATCCCAGCCACCTATTCACAGAATAACAAGAAATCTGTTTTATACTTAAAATGGAGAAGATACTCCCCTCACACAAAAACACACCCCTTGGCAGTTTTCTAGGTTTTTTATTTTTATGAGCAAGAATCTGAAATAAACAATAGGGGACAATACTGTACTTGAATGCACAATTCTTGAGTTTTAAAAATTGAAGACATACATAGTGTTCTCAGAAAAACTATGTGCTCTTTTACATAGCAATGTACAATCTATTCCACATTGGCTTTCATTTAAACACAAATCTGAAACTTCAGAGAAAAGATCAGATTTAATGTCTTACTTACACCATTTTTTCTCTCATTCTGTTTGATTAAATATTATGCTTAATTTTGTATCTGTTAGAAAATTAGCTATAATCAGTCCGAACAAGTGGACTTAATTTCAAAGTAATTTATTTATTGCAGTACTCATTCAAAAATGGACATCAACAGCATAGCTTCACTTTCTCTGTGTTGAATAGACACTCTCATACTGCTTCTAATGAGCTGAATAATGTATTTTCTGGCTTTAGTGATATTATCTTCCTACTGAGTGGTAAGAAATTTTCCATTGCACATTCAGTTATTTTATTAGAGAAGAGTGGGCACTGTGATAGCCTTTTGACACTGTCCAATTAGCGTTCTTATTTTTAATTGCACTTCTATTTATTTAAGTGCAATGGACAACTACAGCATTGCTTTGGTTGCACAGCATTAGTCTGAAAGGTCTGAGTTCTCAGCAAGGAGGTCTGGGGAGGCTCAGAATGCAAGAAGGTTGAGAACTCAAGTTATTCAAAAACCTCTCACTGCTTCAAATGCTTGGCCATATTTTATGTAAGGACACACTTGTACAGGAAAAGAACATTTCTTTGGTTAAGTTCTTACAGCTGTTTTGATACACTGAAGAGACAAACTGTCAAAATATGTGTTATCTTCGGAGGAAAATTAACAGGGGAAAAAATTACAGGGAAATGAAGAATGTTCTTTTCAACAGTCTCTTAACCTTTAGCTCTTTTTCTGACATCAATGCAAAATTTGAAAAAATACTGAAAAAATTTTCAATCCCTTTCAACATGTTATAGCACAGAAATTCTACTGGTTAAACTTCTTATGTGGAAACAAGTCTACTTCAATACAATTAATCACAGCAAGGATTATGTCACACCCAGTAGAAAAACAAAATATTGCTTTTCAGATTTCTCCAGTGCTTTGAATTTTTGTGGTCTGTAGTCTTAACCAGTTTATTACCTATTAGCATTAGAATATTAATGGTTATTGGTGATAAAGGCAATGAATTACATTTACCCTTTCCTCTGTGTTGAATCAAGTTTCCGTGTGGGAATTCACATGTCCCACAAATGCCGCACATGTCTAAGAAGTAATTATTTTAAATGAACACTGAAAACCATAGGAGTGACAACAAAGGCTCTAGTGACATCATGTTTTTTTTCCAGGTTGTTTTAAAATGTAAAAAGTCTGCTTCAAAAAATTAGTCTTTTTCTGAAGTGAATAGCTCTGACCCCAAATCCCTGCTAGATAGGCATATCCTACTCAGTCTTCTCCTTTAACTTTTGTTCAGTCCTTATCTAACTTTTATTAGGAGGCTGAAAGAGACTAATAAAATGTCTCACTCTATAAAAAAAAACAAGACAGACATGAAATCAATGACATTTTCATGCACAAAACTTTTTAATCTAACTTTTTAGAAGTTTATCAGTCAGTTTAAGTGCTTCCCTGTCCCTGGAACACAAACTATCAAACTCAAGATAAAGTCAGAAACCAACCTCACAGAAATGCGATACAAGACATTACTCAACATCTTTTCAACTTTAAACATTCTCTGTTGTGATATATACATACAGTGTAAGAGATTTAATCGACTTCAATTTGACATAATTGAAAAAAATCTCTTAAACACATAATACCAGAATTGTAATTGGATATTCATATATCTAATTGCCAGCACTGCAATTTCTTAAACTATTCACCCTACATCAAATTTTCCCCAAAATTTCCCATGAAATGACTCACTTAAACTCAACAGTGATAGTGGACTTTATATGAAAACTTGCTAACAAGCTGACCAAAGCTACCATACCTACTTTGTGTTCAAAGGACAAATCATTTCTATAGATTGATCTATACCTAAAACTTCCTTTATGCTTACCATTATTGTTCTTGTAGAGTGGCTGGATGATTCTGGAAAACAGAAGAACCACAGTGCATTAGAGTATTGTCTTCACTCATAAAAATCTTATTTTCTTGCATTCACCCTGAAATATAAGATGTTTCTGCATGGCTAGGAGCATATCAGAAATGCAGGGACTGGGAAGATGTCTCATGAAAAAAACATGAGAATCATCACTGAAAATACATAGCAGATAAAAGTATACTATTCCATGCACTCATTATTATCTATTCTTAATTGTCCTCTTCTGCAAGAAAATGAAAAAATAGAATTCATATTTCACATCTGAAAATTTTTTTCTATGTTGCTTTTAAATTGTGGCATCATTTTTCATGAATGATTAGCATTGTAGAAAAAATACAAACAGTAATAATTCCATAACTATTCCCATTTTGAAAAGCTCTATGAAACTACATTGTCCTTTACATGAGAATTTTCATGGATTTTTACTTTAAATGGCAGAAGGAGATTGAGAATTATAACATTCAGAAATTTTAAAATTACTATCTCATATATGATAAATTACAAGACAGTCAATCAAACACACACATTTGCATAATACTGCTGAGAAATCATGACCAGGCCAATAGCCAACACAGACTTCATCCTGCTATTTAACTTACAGTACATTTCCTTTGTTGCTGTTGTTTTTACTTTTCCCACCAGGGACAGAAGACTTGTCCTTTGTGGCGTTACAATACTATAGGTACTACCTCACAACTATGCTCTTCCTAGTAGAGTAGAGTGAAGAAACCCATGATATGTGCAATTCATATCTTTACAGTGAAGTTATTTTTGTTATTACAAGTTTACTTACTGTTTTGACATTACAGCCAAATAACATTTGAGGAATGTTCCTGAGAAAACCCCGCGATTACCTTTGTGGAAGGAAATAACTCTTGAGAAAGGACTCACTATTTTTGCAAGCCCAACTTCCCAGAAACCAAAACAAAACCAAAACAAAAGCAACAATGATACAACCTAAAAGAGCACATCTCCATTTCCTCAAATGCTAAAAATCAGGTTAAACAAAAAGAATGTGGTTTCTTCTCTCTTGAAATACAAAGATGTGTTGCAGAGCAACACATCTCCACTCGTTCACAATCAGACTGAAACGAACTAACTAAAGCACATACTTCCTATATTCAGATTCTCCAGAAATAAGAATATCTTCACTCTTTTTCAGAGGTACTGTCCTTTTGACACAGATTTATATGCTCAGTTCTATAAAGACATACTTAGTCATGATTCTACTACCAATGTTCCAGAACAATATCCTCTTTGATATTAATTGATATTAATACCAATATTGATATTGATATGAACTGGGGACTGCAACATGTAACATCAGAATGGACTTGGAGGTTGTTAAAAGTATTTTTCAACAATATGTTTACACACTTAATACAATGCCAACAGCTGTTGATGCTGGGATTTTAGCATTCTGATAACCTATTAATAATCAAGCAAAGAACTAAAGAAAGACCTGCTACACATGCAGAGTGTTTACACTATCTAGGTAAGAATCATTTTTTGCTATATTTTTTTTTATAAAGTGCTGCAGATACTGAAATAGAATCTCAGTTGTGAAACACCTTCTAGCCTTCTAGAAAGACTTGAGTAGATTTATAAATAAAAAAGTTACTGAAAGATCTCTTTAAGAAGTAGATGTAGACAAAAGATTCTAGATCTAGCAAAGGCTACTTAATAAAGTACTATTGTTACACAATTTAAACTGTCACATACTCTGTTAACTAAATATTCTTTGAACTAAAAAAAATGATGCCCTTATATAAACCTTTCCCTCTAAATAAGCTTTATCATTGCCTTGTTATTGCATATAACCTTAAACTAAGAATTAATTTGAATTTATTTAAGGATGACTCTTTGTCTTCCAAGATCAAAATCTGAAACACTAGAGAGAGAATACACAGACAAGAAAAGCAAAAGAATACAGAAACATACAAATGTATCAAAAAGTATCTTCCCCAGATGAGGAACTTTCCAGTTAAACTGCTTAAGCAGTTTTTTGAAGGTGCCTTCCATATTACACTATGCAATAAAGTAGAACTTGTACACTGCAATCATAGCTTACAATAAATAATGAATCCACTTGGCAGTAATCATACACAGAATTACTAAGTACAAACTTCAGATCTCAAACCCAGTGCATGTAATTTGTGAGGTAATTGTGCTCCTAACCCTATTAACCAACAGACAGGTTCTGTCTTTCTGCAACTTTAATTCTTTAAAACTCTACCACAGGGAAGTAAGCAGAATCTAATTCCTGGAATGACCACCTGCATTGTTTTGTGAGCTAATTTGATTATAAAGTTGTTCTAATTGTTTACTGTTTTAAGAGCTGGTTTATTCTGCCAATTACAAAAGATTGCATTACTGTGAAATAATGCCTACACCTTATCTATATGTATAAAATAAATTCTTATTCAGCAGCAGAAAGTGGGGACAGCTCAGGGGGGCACCTCACTGTGAAATATCCTCAGCTCCCTCTGTGATCCCATTTAGCTTGCTCATTCTACTCAACTGCCAGTTTCAGAATTTCCTTAGTCCAACAAGATGGAAGCAACATACAGAATGCTCAAAGTGAGGCATCAAGGCTTGAATGCTAACCTATTTTGAAATTCTCAGAACTGAATGTAAGTAACGAAGACTTACAAATAAAGTATTTCATATCTTCATATAAATAAAAGCTCTGAGTCATATATAAGTTGGGAAATAACAAAGAGTTGTAAATGACTCTTTCACTGATGACTCTGCTTGCCCAACAAATGGCAGTAACATTAGAGAAATACCCACATCCCCAGAGATATCTACTTCCTGTACTCACATTTCCATGTAGACAAGTATTTAAAAACTTTTACTAGTTACAGCAAAGATCAAAACTAGCCCACACATTTCCATGGTAAATTTCAGAGAAGAAAAATCTGGCTTTAAAACAATGAATAGCATTTGCATCTCACTTTTCAGAAAAATGGGTGCACAGTACAATATTAACTGCATGTTTTGTTTCAGCACAGGAGAAACAGTTGCAGAAGATTCACACAATAGCTTATCCCATCTCATTTCTTCTCTTTCAGTTTCAAATGACTGGTATATAAAATGAAGTTTAAATCAATTTATGTAGGCATATGGTTTATTAATGTGAAGAATACATACGGAAAAAAAAAGGTTTTATTTTTAAAATGAATGGAGTATCTGATGTTTTTCAATATGCATTCGATGGTTGTAATCTGCCACCTTGGTAGAACTTCTCTATCTTTACCAAAACTAATATTGTGATAACAAAAAAAGCAGACACCATAGTGAAAAGGCATCTCTCTCTGCTGAGACATTCAATCCAACAGTGAAAATACTTTTTTCCTAACATAACTTCACACAGAGTTATACGAAATAAACTCCAAGGAAACATGTTATTATTTTTTTTTCTTTTTGAGCAGGAAAGATTTAGTTTCTCTGCTTGTCAGGCTGCTTAGAGTTTCATATATTTGATGGAGAGTCTCAAATTCCCAATAGAAAAAAAAAAACAAACAAACAAACACAAAAACCAGGAGTAAAATATAAGCTTTCTTTCCTTGTTTATCTCTTCAATAGCCAATACTGTTAGTCATAAAGACTGAGAGGGACTGACCAAAATAGCACCTAGGAGAGAAGGTACAATTTTTTTAGGTGTTTCTCACTTCGTCAATTTCTCATGTCACTTCCTTATCTTTCTACAATAGAGATGCATGGTTTCCTACAAAAATGGGCCAATTAAATTTCTTTCTCATTCTTAGATACAGCTGAATCCTTCAGTAATTTATTCCCTGAGGAACTGAAGAATGACTGTTGAAAGAATCCTCTTGAAGCTATCAAGACATCTCAGGCTGAAATACAACATTGAAGGTCTCAAAAGAGAAAAATGGGATCATAGTTGTTGATTAAAATCTCTTCAGCTATGAACAACTTGTACTTCTGCCCTTGAGTAGTGCAATTGGTATCACTGGGTACAGAATAATCTCTATACTCCATCAGTAACTGTATCATCTTGGACATCCTGTGGATATTTGGTTCTGATGCATATAAAAGCAAAGAAACAGTTGTCAGTTGACAGAGGTTACATTAATGTAAAATAACTTTACCTGATCTTTCCAAATATGGAAAATTATCAATACAGATCCTACGAAAACAACATCCTGATGTGAAACACAATTACTTGGATGTGCTGTTGTGCACAGTTAAGCATCTTGTGAGTGAAAGTAATTGTTTGAAATAATTTCAGACACAGTAATTTGAAGATCAGATTCAATACCTACAAAGCACCTCATAGTCACACCTAAGTCTTATAATCATCAACTCCAGTCATAAGATAGGATGCAAGAAACATTCTGCAGTGCTGTGATCTTCTGAAGATATAAATTTCCCCATTTGAAAGAGACTGCCTTCACTACTGAAAACCATTCAAATATCTCATGTTGATTTTCTTTATAGCAGCAATGGAAATTCTGTATCTCAGAGTAGTTTAAAGCGCCAGCATGTGTTTTACATGATGCTGTACATTTTTCCAGAATAGAAAAAAACTCTGATATTTTTCTTTCTATCTTACAGAATGCAAGATTTCCTGTTATTTGAAAACAGACTAAAAGAGCACTTCTCTAAGATCATTCAGAAAAATTCTCCCTCCTACAAGAGAGAACACAAACACCTAGAAGAACTGGGAAAAGAAAAACAGTCTCTGATCACAACCTTATTTTCTGAAAACACCAACAGTCTGTAACAACAGCCATAGTACTATAAATGGCACTTAAGCAGTGTTGTTTCATTCAGGTGTATGAATTACGTGTGGATGCATAGAACTAGAGCTATGTCTCTTAGCCATCTGTGATTGATAATCAGATTTTTAAGCATAAGCCTCCCTGTTTCCAAAAAGAGATAAACGAGCTCCCTCAGTTAACAAGGAATAATGGTCTGAAAATGACACACTCCCTCATCTGTATCAGTTGCACCAGTTTTTTGCAGGAGTCATACATGGGACATGAAAGAGAATCTTGTACTGCATTGGCCATACTGAGGACTTAAGCCAACGTAAGACTTCCCTAAGAAATTGTAATCATGTTCTTATTCAGTCATAACTTACTCAAAAGCATTAAACCATGTATTACTGTTTTTTTCCTCAGTCTTCCCCTTCTCTGTCATAGATTTGTCAGTATGATATCCCGTAAAACTACAGCACTCAACTCACCTGGGCAACACAATTGATTTGAAATATGCTAATCTAAAAATATATTTACAAAGGCCCAGGTTGCATTTACTTGAATACTGCAAATTATAGTGTATCTTAAACAAACATACTTCTATGGCTTAAAAAAATTTCTAATACTGTTCTGGAATAATTCTGGAATCTGCTAATTAATGCAATAAAACCAGAAACGATCAATAGTATTTTGGAAACAAAAAAGCCAAGGGAACCACAACCATTACTGAAAAATGGAAATTAAGATGATCCAAGTGATCATAGCCAGCAATGATCCTAAATAAAAATTATGGTTAAGGTTGATATGTGGCAGAGGATAATAATGCAACTGATTTTATGCTGAAAAAACTGTTAAGAAAACTTGAGGATATGTCAACAAAAGATAAGTTTTGGCCAGTAACTAAGTTTAGTGTTTATTAAATGTGTTTGACTTGGTAGAACAAAGTAGTCTGATGAAAATTATATTTCCATGATCATTGTTTTATCACATCCAGTGTGTCAGAAATTATTTTGCAGTTTGCACTGACTACACTTTGCAAGCTTTTAACTAAAGGGAAAACTAGGACAAGAACCAAAATACTCATTTTCATACAAAAATACACTTCCAAGAGTTCTATTACCTTGTATATATGCTTACTTTATGATTTAATAGAAAATAGATAAGTAGAAATAATTATCTCCTAAAGCAACAATTTACAGCTCTCAATAGTAATTTTTCAAATTAGATTTAGATTAGATTCAAATTGCTTTTATGTGCAAATTGTCTTAACACAGTTATGTATTTGATACAAACTAATCAATGTGGCTAATAACAAGCTTTATAAATATTTTATGTTGAAGAGAACATTCAAAATAAATAGAATAAAAATGTTATGAAGCTCATCTCTTTAAAGGGATATCATCAAAATAATGTTTACCTTGAACTTATTACTATAGCTTTGTTTGCTGTGGAAATGTAGTAAAATCTTTATTTCCAGGTGAAATTCATTCCTCACTCAGAAATTACAAAGCCAGTCCAGTCTAATGGCCAGCATTAGAGGAGAAAAAGCAGCTTTTGTTCCTAATCACATGCAGAAACTATGAGATCAGCACTACAGTACTTCACAATGAACTCCACAGTGAAAATTCTGCTGTGTGAAATGTACTGCATTTATAGCTGTGCCTATTAATGTTGTCATTGTTTTATCACACAGTTGTCACCTTAGTCCATTGAATAGCTTGCGTTGCCATGCATGTTATTTGCCTACCATGTGATGGTTGTTCGCACAGTGAGCAAAGGTCCAAGTGATCCTGTCATACATATATAGTAAATAACCACTTTGTGTCAAAAAATGTAGTGATTTCTAGGTATTGTTAAATGTACAGTAGGTATTTTCACTGCAAGATACAAATGACATTGGCAACGACAGAAAAACACGATTGTTCTGGTAAAATAATGGATTGAGCTTTCCCTCCTGTATTTGGAATAGCATTTCTATTATCTTGTCTAAAAAGAATCTTTCTCATTTCTACCTTGACCTGTGAAACATGAAAACAGAAAGTCACCTCTTTTGTGCTAATCATGTCTCAACAGCCTATTTTCAGAGCCTAACTTCTTTCAGATTTTCTACTTGCAACACCACACAGCAAATAATCTAATTGCTTACAGAAGCTACATTGCACAAGAAGAATTCAAGAAATGCAATGCATTTTAAATAATATTTTTTCAAATAAAAACACAATAAGGCAAAGTAAAGCATTTGCAGCATCTTTCTCTTTTCACTAAATTTGCTTTATCCCTTTCTTATGCTTTTATGTAGAGGTGAAAGATTAGTAAGAAAATTGGTACAAATAGGTTTTGTGAGACATGGCATTAATGGTATTAATGAATACTCACACTCAGTGAATACGCATCACCATTAATTGCATTACGAGTGCTGAAAATATGCTGTCTACACCTTAAATTTCTATGACTGTGCCTTCTTATTTAACATCATTTTTTAAAAACATACACCCTACAGAAAAGTCATAAAACTTTGCTGTTTCAGGTCCAGAGAAAATCGTGCAATTCAGAAATTTAATACGTTTCATTTATACTCCTTTACTTACCATCAAGACCATTATGATGGCTGTAGTTCCTTTTTCCTAAAATACTTAGTGAAGAGTGATTGGAGGGTGCAAGCAGTCGTTTTGTACTTGGACCTTGAAGGCTTGGTGTTGATCTGATTACATTGGGTTTCGCTGCAGGGTGAATCTCTATTTAAGACAAAAGGGAGAGAGAGAGAGAAAGACAGACTTGATTTAAAAAGATTTTACTCTAATTGGCTTACTAAATTTACACTTTAATTTCTAGTGAAACAGAAGTGGGTTTCTTCAGCATGAATGCGTTTATAGGACCTTGAATAACAATTTGAACACGTCTTCATACCTATTATTCTTCCAAATAAGGAAGAATCAATTTAATTTTACATTGCCTGTGTTTACTGCAATGGTGTGAGGTATTCACAAGTGAAGAGATAATAGAGATCAAACTGAAACAGTTCTGTGTTTTCTTTTCCCTCCTCTTTTGGGTTTTGTTTTGGAACTACACACCTACAGATTGTTAGTCAAGGAAACAAAAGCAGCAGTGAAGCCCCCTCAGTATCTTAACTTATCAAAAAATTACTGTCAAAAGAGCAAGCTTTAAGAGATCATCTCAAATACAGGTTGCTAGGTGCAAGGATCAGGGAGAGAGCTACAGCACTACCCCAAAACTGCAACATCATTACCTAGGTACTGCCAGACTTCAATACAGAACCATTATTATGGATTCAAATATTCGGGACCGTCTGAAAGAATTCACACAGGAGGATTATTTCAGAGATGGAAGAAGAAAAGCACATAAAAGGCAGTGAAACTCATCTGCCCAGTGGGATTCAGAGCAGGTAGCTGCTAAGTTTGCCAAAAGCTGGTGCAGTTGTATGGAAATTTCACAGTAAGCTGCCAGATGAAGTTGGCAAAGGCTCTGGGCAGCAGCACTCAATGCCACATGGGCTGCCTGAGGTGTGTGGCCCAGCTGAGACCTGCCACCTGAGTCCGCTGCCAGTCAGAGATGCCCTCTGACAGGGCAGGGAAGGCTTGCCAGCAAATCAGGAGCCAACTACCTGCAGAGTGAGAAAAGATGGTAAAAATCAAAATGAAGTACTTCAGTCGTCCAGGTTTGCACCTGAAAGGTGACCCTTTCTGCTTTTTTTTTTTGTTTATAAAATAAAGCACGTGAGCTGGGAATATGCAACATCTAAAAGGAGGCAGGATGTCTGAGCAGGAGGGCCTTCAGCCTCTGCCATTCATAGCAATTATGCAGGAGAAACCATTGTACAGGAGTCAAAGTCCACCCCGCTAGCACATTTTTTTTCTTCCACGAGTACTACAGCCCAATATGAGTGTGCACCACATGCCCATTCTCACTGCAAACCTTCACACCTACCCACACCAGGAGTCGGGGAGCTCAGCAAAAGGCCTGAGGCAGCCACAATAACCTTAACCTTTAGGCAGAAAAAGGGAGGTGGGAGAGCCAAACAGACTTATTTGTAGAAAGGAGTATGATGGCCAGAGGGAGTCAGGCAGGCTGCATAGTGAGAAAGGGCACTACCAACAAACTTTGCACTGGAAGACTATGGTTAACTTAGTTTTAGTCACAGCATGTAATCTTACTCTTAGAAGTATGAACACTCTTATCCAAGACGTTTCAAGAGGTTCAGATTAAAAAGAGTGGAGCAGGATAACACATTTTTAGTTGTTAGAATGACATTAAAGCCAGGGCTCTGGTAACTGCAAGACAGTCCTGTAAGGCTGCACATGTAAAGGCTAGTTCAATATCTCTGATGTTCCCACTGCTTACTTAAGAGCTTTGATTCTAAAATGCTCATTTTGCAGTCTCTTTCAATTTTCAGAAGGAAACGATTCATATTCAGGGCTAATACCACTAAAATATTGTCTATTTGCAAAAGAGCTCCAGCAGCAAACAAAATAATGCCCAGAGCTGGATCAACAGACTAGAACTCAAACTCCTTCTGTCTACAGTATAAAGGAGATATAACTCTGTACTTCTAGAAAGTGCTAACAGCTGAGAAAGGATGCATTTCCTTCCTTTGACATTTCTTCAGTTTGGAAGTCATTAATCCTCAGTTTGCCATTTAGACTGTCTTTTCTCTTTCTGCAATGAGTAAAGTAGCAGGACCAAGTTTTACAAAAAAACCTTTATTAATCAGTCAGGACCATTTCTCAACAGTTTGAGTCCTTACACCATCTACTCTTATGCTCTACCTATAGACTTGCTTCAAATACTTGCACTTTTAGGGATCTTTTTATTCCTACTGCTATTACCCTTATTCTACTGCCTAGTACTTTTATTCACTGAAAATCTCCTATCCATTTGCAGCTTCTGTTAACTTAGAGAATTAAATGTAACATGCAAATAACCCAAATTATCCCAGTAGCTACGGAACAAATAACCAACTGGCCAAATTCAGATTCTATGATCACTTCTGAAATTAAGATAAAAATGAAATGAGAAGAGAAACAATAGTTCAATTACATATTTTTCAATTACAGGAACCTTTGTTATAAGACTGGCTTGCAGCCCCAAGTAATAGCAATAAAAACTCTAAAAGCTCCCATTTCCACTAATGTCACTGAGGTACTCTATACATATACAAAGCAAGCTAAGAAAATTTGAAGTCTCCTGCTGAGCCACTTAACTAACTAAGCAGCCTGAATTCCATAGGTGCTTAAGCAGTTGGATCTCTCTATCTCTTCTCAGCATGCATCTCTGCTGGAAACTCTAGACTGGTTTTCCTCATAACTGAGAGGAAAAATAGGGCATTTAATTATCTAAGGACTCACTTTAGGAGGGTTTGTTTTGTAAGTACAGTGAAGACTGAAGAGATTACAGGGGATTAACCCCAGGCTCTCTAGAGGACAGAGCTTAGTTTTAATACTTAACCTATTCCACCTGGGGAACCGGTCGCCCTGAAGCAGAAGAGACAAAGGAAGACAGTGACCTAGAATTGTGCAGAGCACTGATATCCTCTCTGCCTCACCAGTAGGGCTCAAAAGAGTTGAGACACAGTTAACAGCATTTCAATAAATGCTTGTGGGTATGGCCTGGAAGGGACTTTAAAATCAAAACAGCTACCTCCTGTGTAAGTTACCATGTGACATTTAACACTAAATTTTAAAATAAATAATGAAAGCACTACTTACTCACTGGAACACACTATTACTTCCCAGTTTTCTCTCCCCACTCAAAAAATGCCATAATCTAGCCATCCTTAGCTAGCTTAGATGTATGCTCAGAACTATGTTGAGTATGCTTCATATCCCTATAAAAGGCATTGCTTGCCTTCTGTTGTATTGAGATGTTTCACTTCTTATCCAAGTGAATTCTAAGTGGATTCTACAGATACCTTGTATATTTTAGCACAAAACCCTCACCTAAGTGCACATAATGCTATCTAACATCATCCATCCATTTACTCCCATTAAATCTACAGACCTGTGCTCCCAGAGCTACTAAGATGATCCCTTTTAGCCTAGACAAAACAATATTAAAAACATACAACATTTCCTAAAATACTCATGCTGTCCTTTCTCCTTCTGGCTGCACAGATGGGGTCAGCCAGATGAGCCATCCCCTCCCTCAACCACAGCTCCTCCCAGTAAGAGGAAACAGCCCTTCTCTCCTCCCTTCTGTACATAAGTAACATAGAACACATGGCAGGGATGCATGTAGGAAGTTAGCACTATCATTTTCCTTAAACTCCAAAGGAGGAAGAATCAAAATTCTGTGACAGTGGATATTAATTTTTCACTATCCTGTTTTTTTGAAGCTTGGATTTTGTTCAACTTGGTGTTCTGGAAGAACAGTCATAATCACATTTATACCCAATTTCTGCTTCAGTAAGTCACAAGACCATTATTGTTTACTTTGTTGTACAACAAACAGCCTCCTGTTGGTTTAAATATTGAGCAGAAATATCTAAAATGAGTTCTAATTCCGTAGAACAGTGATGATACTCTGCAGAATCTCCCCCTGCTTCTGATCAATGGATTGATTTCTGTATTTATATCACGATAAATTAAAAGCCTCTTCGGTATTTCATCTCTTAGATGATAATGTAAATATTTAATTGTCAGTTCCCTAAAAAGAAGATCATTTCCTTTTTTTTTTTTTAAATAACAATTACAATGTCTGGAATTCCTCCTCACTATCTTACGTGAGCATTTCATCCTCTTGGCTCAGTATCAGTATCAATACAATTTGTGTCAAGTTAAAAGAAGGCCAGTGTTTTAGGTTGGCTCAAGTCTGCTCCATCAGAGAATGGGAATTTTGCACATCGATTCAAGATGCACAGAACAGCACACAGAATACTGAACATCTCCCCACTAAGTGCTAACGTTTTCAAACTACCAGACTGTTATTTCCCATTGTAAACTGCATCAGGTTTCACTCTGCCATTTTAAACCAGTATCAGAAGGCCTTTTGCCTTTCCATGATCAATCACAAAATTTTCCAACTGAATGCAGTAGCAGAGTAGCTATGAGTAGCAGACCAGAATATTTATTAATTTATTCACTTTATAGTTTTCTTTTTATTAAAAGCAAAAATCTCTCATTTTATGCATATAGAATTCCTAAGTATCAGTAAATACCAAATAGTCATTTGATTTACTTTATGCTAGAGGAGATACCCACCTAAATACCCAATGATACATGACAGTGGTTTTCTGGTACTTTTGATCTTCAGAGGATTTCCAGCAATTTCATAATGCCGATCTGCATCTGAGAATTTTAAAGAATAAAACTCAGTTTAAACATTTCACCATTACAAATATAATTAGGACACACCAGCCAGTTTCTGACTGACTTTCACCACAAATTTTTGCTTGATTTTCTTTCTTTTTTTTTTTTTTTTCCCCACCAATGCCAACAGTGATAAATAAAAGGTAGGCTATGTCTTCACTTATGTAATTGATTTTTAAATTATTTGAATGTTAATATAAGATCTAAGAGAAATTCCATTTTGCCTACAAAGTCATTTTGGATACAGTAAATTAGGCAAATGAAACACAAATGAAAAAATATAAAATAAAGGCAGATCTGGCTATTAGCAAGAATTTACATTGACTTTTTCACTTTATTGATTTCCACAATTTTTGTCTGGCTCTAATTGGGGTATTACAGAACTTCGAGGCCTTTAATTCTGAAGCCTGAATTCTGTCATGTCTTACTCCCATGGTGTGGTGATTCACATAATCCCACTGTGACCATCATGAAGAGATGAATTTTAAACAAACAAACAAAAAAGAAAACACAAACAGAAAAAAACCTTTACTATAACATCTCAGCAAACTGGTCAATTTGTAACCAAGTATGCATGCCAGAGCTCAAAGGTTTCAAAGACCGTAAACTCCTGAAAATGAAATGAAAATAAGCAGTTCAGTAACTACCTAAATTTGATGCTATGACTACAATTTCACACCTTTAAAGGCACTGAGAATACACAAACAGAGACCTTCTCCATGCCCCAAATACAGAAGCATTATAAAGAAGAGGTTCAGACCTCGGGATTAGAACCTATCAGCCCAAGGCAAAAATCCTCAGGACACCAAGTTTCATTAGTCAGTTTCAGGATTACTGGAATAAGCTTTCTTTTTAAACTCTTTGGAAAGAACGGGTCATCTGTTTTACAAGATCATATAAATAATCCCCATAGAGAGTACACCCAGAACACAGATTTCATACAGAACGACATTCGCGTTTTGATTTTGTAGACCTAGAATTGTCTCACATAGAATTTCTTCTCGCATATACACAAACCCATGTACACGTTGTTTTCTATGCATATCACATGCACACAAATCTGCATTTTCTAACAAGCTTAACAAGAACTAGATATTAAAAATAGTTTATAGTAATTATAATTATACTTTGCATCCACAGTGCATGTTACTAAAATATTCCCGTGTGTTTCAATCCCGCACAGGGGAATGAGTACATTACATACAGTGATTACACCTACATGAAAAGGGTAAGACACTATACAGAACAATTTATCTTTGAGGAAAAACATAACATTTGCCCTCTATACATACTCTATCCAGATCTGTGAAAAAATGTGCAGGTGATGTAACCACATGACAAAGAAGTACATGAGTCTGTTCACAGGTGTTTTAAACCCAGTAGGCAATGCTCAGCTTGTTTTAATGTTATTTTTTCTTAATGTAAGTAACAACATATGCTGTGCTCAGTGAAGAAAATGCACTGGAGCTAGTGCCTGGAATATTTTTAACATTCCATAACACTTCAACTATTTTAATTGAGAGTAGAAAGAAGCATCTCCACTGACTCTCTTAGTAAAATAAGTACAGGCTACGCAGTGAATATTTTATAGTTTGGGAATAGTAGAGCATTGACTACTAAGAAATTAGCAAGAAGTTTTTCCATCTACATGTTTTCACTAAAAAAAAAAAAAAAAAAAAAAAAAAGACACTGAATCATAGTGAGATGCTAATATGTTGAGAATACAGACTGTAAAAAGAGCACAAATTCCACACTTGAGGCAAAACATTTTCACCAAAGGTGCTTGGTGGATATTCCAAAGCACTGCTGTCAATGAAACACGTTTAATGATGGCAGACTTTAACCCACAGTATGGTACTTCCATGATGAAGGTAATAATGTTCATGATCTTTATGTACTGCTTGTGAAAAACAACAAGAAAGTCCTAACATCAAACATGACTATCCATATAGACACCAGATGGAATGGAAGCAATGAGAAATAAAAAAAAGGCATTGAAAAAAAAAAAAAAAAAAAAAAAAAAAAAAAAAAAAGAACAATTTAAAAAGGAGTATTTTATCTGATGGTGTGCATTTTTCAGACATATCAAAAACAAGAAGTGCTCTAGCACCTGTATCAATATGATGTGATCAAGTGTGATGCAAATACAAAAGACAATTAAAGACTTGTTAGGAAAAAGAAAAGAAAAACCTAATTCTCTGTATCAGTATTCACTGGTGAGAAACTTAAGAGAAAATATTTCTCTTAAGTTCTCACATCTCATAAGTACATTACAACTATTTCATAAAAAAGTGTCCACAGGAAATATTTCAAAACAAATTGATGAATAACAACAAGCTTCTGGGACCAGTGAGATTCATCCAGCCAGAAACTGCTGAGCATGTACAGTAGTGGTGTTCAGTTATTACTTAAACTTCTTTCAATTCAAGAGAATAAAAACATGGTGAATGTGATACCATTCTTTAATAAGTAGTTTTGTAGACTGGAAAAAAGGGCTGAGCTATTAATAGAGGCATACAGGTCAAACACCAAGAGCCAACAATGACCTTGAAAATGGAAAATGCTTTTGTTGTGTTCACATTATTCAGCAACGCACCTTTGCAACAAGGACAACTGCATGCTGGGCCTTCCTAGCATGGGTGCAGCCAGCAGGGAAAGGGAGCTAACCCCTCCCCTCTTCCTGGCTGCTGTGAAACCACTGTTGAGTTCTGGAATCACCACTGCAAAAGAGAGATGGATATACTGGAGCAAATCCAGCTACTGGAAAATCACCAGGCTGGTGGGCCACCAGTATAGAACATAAAGAGAGGCTGAGGGAACTGGATCTGGCCAGCCTTTAGATAGGAAGGTCAAGGGAAGACTTGATTACCACCTGCAACTATCCCATAGAGGCTGTAGTGTCTCCATCCTCAGAGATTGGCAAAAGGCTCTGAGATTTATGCAGGTGGTTGGATCAGACATTCACAGGCCCCTTCCTACACACATTCTGTAAAACAGCAACTGCAAGTATCAGGGGTCTGCCAGGATCCTCTGGAGGATCTTGATACATTCACACACATCTGATGTGACATCCAACTGATCTGGCATCCAACTTGGAACTTCAAGCAGCTTTTGACAAAACCTGTCACAAAAGACTATAACTTTTCAGTGGCTATGATGTAAAAGAAAGTTTTGTCAGGAATTAGAGCCTGATTAAAAGTAATTGTCTATGCAATCCCAAAAGGATGTGTACTGTTCAACATTTAAATTGGTAGGAAAAAATGTGATTATGGAGTTAAAGTAAACAAAAAACAAATGACTGAGCATAATCAAAACTAAAACTGATTGCCAATGATATCAGTGGGATCAAGCACTGAATGTAAAGTAATTCTTATAGAGTAGAATGACTGTAATATACAGATAAAACAATTAGTTCTGAACAACTAACACGCAGAACAGCACTCTCAGTGTCAGTGCAAATACCTTCTGTAAGTAGCTGGGTAATACTTGAAAGTGGTTGCTTGGTGAAACGATGGTGAAATTTTTACTGTATTAGAAATTACTATAAGAAGAGTAAGTGTTTTGGGGTAACCAAGCAGGCAGCTCAGCACCACAAGGTTGCTCACTCACCTCCTTCAACCCCCAGTGGAATGGGGGAAAGAACTGACAGAAAGGCACACACAAAAAAAAAATAACACAAACACAAAAATCAAAGTAGAACTTATTGGTTGAGATAAAAACTATTTGCTAGAACAGAAAAGAAAGAGGAAAAAATGTAATAGTAATTATATATATACATATACACACACATACACAGAAACACATGCACAAAAAAAAAAAAGTGATGCACAAGCAATTGCTCACCACCTGCTGACTGACGCCCAGCCAGTCCCTGAGCAGCAGCTGCCCCCCAGCTAACTCCCCATCATTTCTCAAGTTTTTTCCACATGATGCTATATGGTATGGAATATCTCCTTGGTCAGTTCAGGTCAGCTGTCCTGCTTCTGCCCCCTCCCAGCTCCTTGTGCCCCCTGGTCCCCTTGCTGGCAGGGCAGTACAAGAAGCTGAGAAACTGAAACTTCCTGGCTCTGTATAGAGCTGCTCAGCAACAACTAAAATATTATTATGTTATCAGCATTGTTTTTCTTCTAAAACCAAAACATAACATCATACTAGCCATTATGAAGGGAAAAATCAGCTCTGTCCCAGTTGAAACCGGGAGCAAAATAGTAAGTGAAATAGAAAACATACAACACTCTCTAAAATTATGGGAAACTGTGGGACACCACAACCCTTTTTAAAAAGATACAGTACAAATAGAAAAGCTACAGGGAACAACATTACAAACCACAGTGTGAAATGGATTCTTTATGAGGTTTTAAACAGATTGATTTCTCAGCCTTGAAAAGGGATGACTGTTGTGAATACCAAGGAAATCAGGCATTCTAAGGAGATGATGATAGTGAATGGAGCTTGTCCTTTTAAATTTGAAAGCGGTTTAAATTTTTTTGTACTTATTAGATTTGTAGCTTAGAGATTCTCACTTGTGAGTTATTTCTGACATTCCATTTCTGCCAAAACTCTAACAAATATCCAACAAATTTACTGAAGATAATTTACCAATTTACTGAATTTTTTTCCTCTTAGTAACACTGGGAAAAAGTCTCACATTCTTTTGATCATTTTTCTGGCTAAAAGAACTTAAAGATTATAGTAGAGCAAACATTTCCATCGTATGTACAGCCAAAGATCTTCTGCAGCTATGAAAATCTAGGAGATAAAGAAATGATTTCTGATTGGTAAATGCTTGTAAATGTTATTTGCTTAAGAAGATTGGATAGTGTTTTGCCAGTACACAGACTGTATGCTTAGAAAGACAAGTCAGTAACAACAGCTTTGCATACACTACTTAATTTTCACTTGTCTTTAACAAACAGTATTGTAAGACACAGCATCACGTACCAAATGTCTGTTATTAAATCTGCAGACTTAAAGGCGTATATTTTGATCATAGACTATTCACTGATAACATTTTGTCACCTGTATAGACAGCGTAACTACCCAAATATAAATTACTGTGATTATTATAGATAATTGTATCAATAAAACTGTACGTGAGGGCAGCAAACAAGCAAACAAGAAACAACCAATGAAATTAAAATTTACATTGAGGCAGTGAAGTTCACACGACAGTTCACACTGTCAGGCATCAACAACTTGCAAGATTGGATCTATCTCCAGCTGATCTGATTGCGGAGAAGAAAACCTACTACAGATTCCTTTAATAAAATCCATTGACAGAATTATTTTGCTCAACTTTCTGAAAACTTGTAAACTAATAAAAAGGTTGAATATTTTGCCTGATTCAAAGCATGAAAGTTTCCTTACTGAAACAGTTCACAAATTCTAATTATTCCTAAAAATCCACCAGACAAGTTTATAGTCTATTATCTCTAGACAGAACAAAGTTTGCGATTTCCATGATGGATTGAACTCCTAGCAAGAGACGCCATGATCTCTCAACCTTCTGGTGACCATCCTAGATTAAACTGAGATGTGAATGTATCTTCTCCATTTCTCCTGCTGGCATCAGATCTGGGGTCATGCTACATGGTTCCCTAATGAGAAAAATCTAATTCTTTAAGCTAACCAAAGGAATGAAGAACACAAAACAGAGCCTTGTTCTCTGCTAGCACATGTAATGGGCTAAGAACGATGATGTGGGTAGAATTACAGGAATCAAACAAATGCTGTGAAATCTGTGGAGTTTTCATTTGTCTGCTTGTTTTAGCACTATAAAAGCTTCCATGCTCCTCCAAGACAAAAGCAGTGTCAGCAGATAAATTTAAGCGGAATGCAAAAAACAATTTACTTTATGAGAAGTCTAGTAAAAGCTAGAAAATGAAAGCTAGAAATCCACTTTATGACTGGCTTGTTCAGACTTCCTTTCTCATAACAGGTAATTAATTTCACAGAATCACAGAATTGTAGGGGTTGGAAGGGACCTCCAGAGACCATCAACAACCCAGCACTTGAACAATTTGCCTAAGACTAAGAAGGCATAAAAGTGGATACGCTGCTGGGGTTAGAGTGCCCTGCCTTCTTTTATTTCGATTTTAAGATTTTGGCATGGTGCCTATTGCAATATAGCTGTGAAATGCAGTTATAACTCCCAGCACTTGTTCTACACACAGAGAATTATGTAATTCTTAAAGAATCTTTAAAAAAAAAAAAAATCAGATTCAAGTTTCAATGTACCGATATGGAAAACAAATTCTAACCATCTCATGCTAAATTGTAACCTATTTTAGCAAGGTTATCTTCAAAGCATGACTGTAAGTGTTGCAACAACAACAACAGCAGCATTCATTCAACATTGTAACTGCTCAGTGGTATTCAACATATGAAATAATTACTGCTAATTAAGTACCTCATTTAAGATGATTAATATCAGGCTATCATTCAAAGATTCAAGGCATTCAGAGGAAAAAAAGTCTATTTAGATATAACATTAAAATCTATATAATGCACTGAACACAGGTCACCAATGTAAGTACATGAACAAAACTAGAACAGTCCATTACTTAACAGTTTCCTTAAGGGGCTTTACTGGAGTAAGAATATGACAAAAATCATAAGCAGGTAAGAACACTGTAAAATTCTATAGAAAGATGGCAAATAACAGAAAATATATATATGTGCATTTACACACAAATATTAACTTCATTTCATGAGACATAATTTGGTTAGCAGGACTATATATATTAACTTGAATGTTGTACTTAAAAAACATCAACAACTGACTTATTGCTTTTTCCTTCCAGTCTCTGTCAGATCTAAACCAGAAGCAGCAGCATTCACAAAGATGAAATAGCAAGGTCCAATTACTTCATGTAAAATGAATAATAAAAGATAGAAGCTACAGAAACAAACAAAATTGTTCCTGATGTTAATCTGATGTGGCACTTATTCACTTAAAGGAACAAAGATGAAGCAGTCACGACATCATTAGTCTGGTACAAGAATGACTCCTTCATGCTGAAAAGCTCAGCTTTTTACCTCCTTTGTTTTAAAAGTTGAGAAGTGACTATAACATTTGTTCTACTATGATGATTAATGCTTGGATGAAACCTCCTCCCTCCAACTTCTTGAACAAAAAGTTCATCTGCAGTATGAAGAAATAGATAAAAGTTTAAAGTTCAAGTGAACAAGTTTGCCCCTGTACTTGGTACTGGTGAGGCCTCATCTCAAGTACTGTGTTCAGTTTTGGGCACCTCTGTGCAGAAAGGACATTGAGGTGCTGGAGTAGGTCCAAAGAAGGGCAACAAGGCTTAAGAAGGGCTTGGAGAATATGCCTATGAGAGACTGAAGGAACTGGGGATGTTCAGTATGGGGAAAATGAAGCTGAGGGGAGACCTTATTGCTCTCTTCCAATACCTGAAAGGTGAGTACAGCAAGAGCGGGGTTGGTCTCTTCTCACCAGTGACAGGAAATGGCCTGAAGTTGCTCCAGGGTAAGTTTAGGTTGGATATTAGGAAAAACTTTGCAGAAAGGGTTGTTAAGCACTGAAATAGGCTCCCCAGGGAGGTGTTTGAGTCACCATCCCTGGATGTGTTTAAAAACCATATAGATGTGGTGCTCGGGAACGTGATTTAGCAGAGAGTTGTTAGTTAGGATAGTATGGTTAGGTCGTGGTTGGACTCGATCTTTAAGGTCTTTTCCATCCTGAGCAATTTTATGATTCTGTTCTATGAACCTAGTTCTAAAAATAATTCTCCTCCATGATTTAGTAAAAAACAGTGCCAATTAAGTTAAAAGGTAAGTTAAAAGGTACAATCGTTTCCTCTCAGAAAATAACGGTTATTTTGTATTAAGGATTAAAGATATAAGCACAGTCCAGCCTTGGAAATAATTGTCCCATGAATGTATAGCCCATTTTATTGACACAATGGGCATACAGTTTCCTTAAATATGAAAGCTGTTCTTGACTTGGCTGTTTTCTTTCTTCTTTCAAAGCTGTACAATAGGACAAGTAAACAAATGAGGACAATGAGTAGAAATACTCATCAAGTTCTGGAAGTCGGCAGAAGCAGGTGAAGAGTTTGTATGTGAGAAACAGTTGGTGTTAAAGTACATTAGGGAAAAATACTCAAAACCAGATTTTAAGCCTCTCATTATTTCTTATAATTAACACTGATATCATTGGCATCCTGGGAAAACATTTAGCACTAATCTAGTGAACATGGTTTTAAAACCAATGTCTTATATTCTAAATAGCTCTCTTCAATTGTACTACATTTGGTAGCATGCCAGCACAGCTTGTTTTGGAATATCAAGTGCCTCATTGGAGAACTGTACTGATGAAGACCAAAATAGAACCAGGCGGTGTGAGCAGTAAAACTACACTCTTAGTACAGATACAAAACCTACTGAAATAGTGAGTGACTTCATAGGACTGTGGAACAGAATCAAAACACATGAACATAGAGTAACTTCCTGATGCTATCAACAGCAACCCAAAACCATTTGTCATATGATTACTCAATCATTTCTTTGTTTTGACTACAAAAACAAAAGGCATCACACTGTATTTTATTTAAAACTAAATTTTAAAATAAAATGGACAAAAAACAATGCAACTATGGTAAAATGATAAACTTGGCTATCATTACCCACTTGATCACATGATAAACTGTTGCATTACACACCACATCTAAATTCTTACGCATCCACAGCAATGCTACTTATTCTTTGGCCAATTCCACTGAGAAAAACTAAATTAAGTACAGCTCTATACTTTCTACTTAGTAGAAGAATAAACAACAATATAAATGCAAACTTCTTTCACATTATCTAGTTGGAAGCATGATTTCTGTCACAACATGGATCCTCCACAAGATTTTTTTTAAATGACATTTTTTGTAAGCAAATTAGGCAATGGCTATGTTCCTGTTAATTTACTTGAAATGCCCCCCACCTTTTCCAGCCCCCACCTCATCCCCGATCCTTCCAGCACCATCCAAAACATTCTATTTTTGAAATAGTCTGAAAACTCTTCAAGGCAGCCAGACTTTAGGAATGTGTTGGTGATGTGCTAGACAAATGAAAAAATGAAAAGCAAAAGCATATAGACAAGAGATGTTTATTGAAAAAGAAAATAAAATTAAAAGACAAAAACGGGTGGGAAGCACAGCACACAGAACTAAGAATTAAAAAAACATCTTACATTCTGCCTTAATGGCAGCACAGTTAATAGGAACAAAGGGACGTCTTGCTGCCTGCCGCAGCCGAAGGGTATTTTTGCAGACCTGACGGGCAAGTTTTGTCCAGCACGTTGTGTGAAGAAAGAAAGCTTGGCGTGTTTTCACAGCTGACTTTGGACTTCCAGTGTTACGAACTGGAGTTCCTTGTGTGGCCTGCCGGGACATATGAGTTCTAACATGGGATTCCTACAGAAATAAAACAAAAAATAATAACACAAACTTGAATTGCACAATCTGAATGTTCCCTACTAGTGACAGGTGGTACTAAAAATGATTATGTTTAACAAAAGAATTATCTAATGTTATTTGATCCTGTCACGTCAAGTTGAAAGACCGAGCAGCCTTCTTCCACCAAACAAATGAAGAAAATGAACAAAAGATATTTTCCTCATAATTAATTAAAAAATAATAATAATAATCCAAAAGCTGAATAAATTCATAATGTTAATAAACTAATATGTGTAAGCGCTATTCGAAAAACTGGGGCTACATATATGAAGCTATGCAACACACTGGAGAGCTCTGCTGTGAACTGACATACATTAATACCATTCTAGATGAAATTAATGTTTTACAGTTCATATACAAATTTCTTGACAAGTTGACATTTCTCCAACAAAAGTGCATGAAGTGAATATTAGTCTACCTTTCCAAGACTTGGTCAAATAAAGACAAGTCTGGACTAGCACAATGTTTAGCAATACAAAAGACAGGAAAAGGATTAAAAAGAGTAAGAGAAGTTTTGTAACATCATGGTTGAACACATATATAAAATGCATGCCATTAATTATTCAAACCGCAATAGTGTTGTGAAGGCATCACACTTCACTTCAGGGAGGCTTATTTACACAATCCTACCTCTGCAGGTTGGTTGGAAGAGAGTTTATCTTCATCTGTCTGTGTGGGCATTTTCAGGCCACCATATTTCTTCCAGTAAATCCAACAAGAAGCACACAGTCTACACTGCATATTAGGAGGACCCCAAGAGTACCACTGGTGAGATTGTGAAGCTAAGGATGAGAGAACACCACAACTAAATTGCATGCTACATTCAGAACAGTATATCCAAATACTGCAATGCATGGCACTTCCCAAAAGCATTACCACGAAAAATATTTACTCCATTTGATATGGAGAAAATAGCAACTTGTTTAAAAGCACTTCAAAAGTCAACTCCAAAAAGTATTACTGCATTTATTTTCAAACTTAGGACTCTCTATCAGCATAAAGAGATTTTCTTCTAGGGGTCTTCAAACACAAAAGAAAACCAATCAAATAAAACAACCCCAAACAAATAAACCCCTCCAGTCTCACTCTTCATGATTTCTCAACTTAACATGGAAAACTGACTGATCAGGATGCTTGCTACTAAAGACGTTGTTTAAGATCCCTGTTTCTACTCTGTGACCTCCCAATTACATGAAGCCAGTACTTACAAGTTAAGATCCTCTTAAGAAAAGGGTAAGCACATCAACTAGCTTTTCAGATGCGAGCCTATCTTTATCTCGTGAGTGTTCAGTCTCATTTGGAAACATTAATTTAGTCTTTTATTTTTGTAATCAAACTTTCACCAGAAAACTACTCTTTAAAAATATAACTTGAAAAACAACAGATGTATGTAACTGGGACTTTTTAAACTAAAATAATATTTTTTAAGTAATTGCTGTTTAAGACACAGAGAGCCATCACAAAAGTAAAGAACTTCTATATGCCAGGCTTTTTGAGCCTTTTCCAATTCAGAATTCTATTATATCTTCTCTTATACGATCTACATCAGAAGCTGCTATTTCAAGAAGGAGCAATCACAAATGCACAAAATGCAAATGCACTAGAGAATTAAAAAAAAACACCCAAAACTACTCAATCTTGCCACAGCAACAACAGCAAATTAAAAGCAAAAATAAAACAAAAGAAAAAAAATCTGCAATAAAAAACCTTAAAAACAAATCTAAAGCACAAGCAAAAGTAAATATAGATTTAGAAGCCTGAAGGTAAAGGAATAACATCACATCCATTACACCACTCAATACTTGATTGTTCCATACTTACTAAATTGCTGAAGAAAAAAAATGAAGTGGGTTTGAGTATTAACATTACATCGATGTATTGAAGGCAGTTCTAATCTGAAGTTATTTCTGCTGCACAGTGGATCAAAAATTCTCTCTTACTTATAGTATGAAAATAAAAGTATATAGATTTTGTTTAATGTGTATTAAGATTAGCCAAAACTCCTCAATTATTCAAAAATTTATGAAAATTTGACTTACTATAGCAGCTTTCACAAGCCCTCCCTATTAGTGAGGCCTGTGCCTGGTAAGAGGCTCCCATTGCTCCATTGACCGTAGCAGGTTTTCCATTGTTGCTGGATATTTGATTGGGATTTGGTTTATTGCTAAAAAATAAAATAAAATAAAAATAAAAATCAGTTTCCAGAAATTATTTTCTAACCTGCTAATAAAAATGTAAACAACTTAATTTTGGAATTCCATGTGGTGACAACATCTGTAAAAATTAACAAAAGAGTAATTGTCATGTTTTTCTGGTGTTTTCAACACAGAGTTGATGTGTAAAGAGCTGCTACAGTACTCAAATTTGCAGACCTTTGTAAAATGGTCAAACCTGCTTAGCAAGCTAAAGACAAAGCAAGCTTCAGTGTCAAACACTGGAACAAGTCTGACACAGCATAGTCCCCCTCTGCAAGGCTTTACAAGTTGAGGTTGGTCTTTCTGTGAAATACGTAACACATGAAAGTAGTAACAGTGCCTGTAATACAACAAGGCTGTCCAGAATAGAGGACAGGTTGCTGCTGTGTATCTAAATGAGAGGCATGTAAGTTCCTACTAACTGCAATATGCTGCAGTCCTATAACCCTGGCACAGATCACCTATGTATGGGTTGTGTTCTAAACCACTCATTCTAAGAGGACTGAAGAACTTCACCACTCCTCTTATGGTGTATTATATCCAGTAAGACACTCTTTCCAATTTCCAAATACTCTTTATCAAGTATCTTTCCAAAAGGTACTTCAGAGAAGCATACTGAGATAAAGACACAAGGAAGATCAAGAGGTAGTTAAGTCTCTTTTTACTTGAATATCTCTTGCTTAGTTACCTTCCAGAGCAACCAGGAATTGAAAGGGACTCTGGTTATTGAGGACATTCTTGCTTTTACGGGAAGTACCTTCTGACAAGATCAAAAAGGTATTTAGCTCTAAGAATCAACGCCTCTCAGATTTCAAATACAACAAATTTGTCTTGAAATAGATCATTAGAACTATGTTTACCTACATGTGCCTCAGATTGCAGTTACCAGTGTCTCAAGAATTCCTGTTCTAACAATTGAGTATGGATTTTGTCTTGATGGTAAGTCAAAAGATGGTAGTAAACCAAAATGAAAGGAAGTATCTGTATTTCAGGTTAGGTAGGTTATGTCAAACAACGCAGCTAGTCCTTAACAATTTTTCTAAATTGACAACTTCCCTGAGAGAATTATGTAACACTCATACAAGACTTTTCAGCAGAACCCTCTAGTCTACAATATCAAGAAATATCCATGCTGCAAATATGACTTGAGCTGTAAAACTCACAATGCTTTTTCACAAATGAAATTAAAAGACTGAAATTAATAGTTTTGCTGTTTGTATTAAATCCGCTTAAGAGAAAAAAAAGTCTGTATGAAATATGCAAATTAAGTTCTGTTGTATCCAATTTATACATGCAATCAGAATGGCAACAATGGATTTTGAAAGTATTTTATCTGGTATTCTAGTCTTCTGTTATATAAACATTGGTATTAATGGGTAAATTCACACACAAACTCAATATATCCACAAAAACCTGTAAAGAATGTCATCTATAACCCCCTTTCTTATCATAACCTTAAGGAAATTATAAATATGAAATAGAGATTATATCTTGGTTCCATAAGCCACACATTAACAAAAGCAAATCTAGAATTGAGTTTAAATCTAAAGAACTAAAATACAAACCTCTCAGAGGAAACCAGAATTCATTAACAAGAACTGATCAAAGGCAAAAGATTTGGGGTTGTGTGCTACCTTTAATTTATAGCCAGAACATCTTGTCTCTAACTTGAGAACAGATTATATGAAGATAAAACCGTAACCAAAGTAAGTATCTGATTTTACGTAACTACATTAACAACAGCTTCTATTTTAAAATTATTAATTTACACAAATATTAAATGTTGAGCTACAGAGATTCTGAAGCAACTACTCCAGAAAAATTGCTTTTAAATGACAAGATCCTTCTTGCCTGTGAGCAGTTCGTGTAGCACTTGATCAACTTTTGCAGAAGTTTTCGCCTTTCCAGAACAGAAAGTTCGGTGGTCAAAGCCAACGGGTTGAAATAAGGACAAAGAATTTACAACATTTTCCAATTACACTTCAGCGTGTGTATGTACTACTTGCATATACATGTTAAAAGTATTAGGACAATATGAAGGAAATATCATGTGTGTTGATACACTTCACATTTTCACCTGTAAGTAATTCAAAAAAGAACTTTATTGTTATACTCACTAGGTGGGGATGTATACTTGTTTCAATTTACTTTCTGCTTCAGCCGCTTTCAGACGTTTCTAGATGAAAAATCAACACACGAAAATACTTTGTTATCTTCAAGTACACAAGCTCATAAAACTGCACATAAGCCAACCTTAAATTATTTGCGTTTCATTTCACAGTTCTACAAAAGACTCTAGGAAAAGTGTAAAAATCTAGAAGATGAAAGTCATTAAAAATTAGAGCTGTTCTATTTTATTATTGGTTTGAAATTACAGCATGCTGCCCTTCCTGGCAAAACTCACAATCCTTCAGCACATGACAACAAATCTGTAAAAACAACAAGTACTGTGTATATAAATTACATCTACCAAAAGAAAAAAGAGCAAGAAGAAATAACAGCAGCATAACTGAGTTTTATCATACTTTTAATGCTGGTGGTGGTAAGTAATACAATTTTAACAACTCTTTTCCTTGTGTGTTTACTAAAACGAATCATACATTGTCTTCTATATAATAATTCCACAATGTTACTTCGGTATAAACTGTATTTTCATGCACTAAAATGGTGATTAACATTGTTCCCTACAAATAACAGAAAATATCACAGCTTTAAAGCTGGTCAGTCAGTATGAGTTCATATACTGTGAGAGAAGAAAGGATGCAGAAACAAAATCATCAACCAATAGTTGCAATTTGAGATGAACTTTCTGCCTATTGAAACGCAGAGAGCAAATGCTAAGAAACTGAAAAGATTCCAAAATCATGAGAAATCACACGTAGGTAACAGAAATTTGAGAAGGGAAAGTCTGAAAGTTGAAGCTGGAAGTGTTAGTATGACAACTACTTGTTTGTAAGGGTAATAAGGATAATAAAACACTGGAATAATGAATCAGATCTTTAAGAGGAAAATAATACGAAAACATTTCAATGAGTGAAATGGGTCATCTGGCTTTTCTCAGACGCTATATAATGTTGCGGTCACCAAGAATGATTACTGAAGGCCAGGATTAGTTTTACTAGACAGGTTCAGTAGAGATAGAAGGCTTCAATATAAATATTTCCCTTCATCTTTACTTGAAAGGAACATGCTCTAAAGGTGACAACAGTATCTCCATCACCATTAAATCACCATCCCTAGCTAGAAAGTATGAGTGACATTTAGAGGTTATTATGACAAAGAAACATTCATTATGACTGACACAACACAGCCAATTCATGCAAAGAAATAAACAATTAAAGGGCAAATTTTCATATTAAACCGCACAAAGTCCATACTTTATGTACGTATAATATGTAAGAATGTACATCAACATTTTCCTATTCCTCAAAGCTATTCCACACCTCAAGGACTGTATTTAGAGAAGAATGACTCCAAAATTGCCACTTTCTTACTGAACATATTTTCTCCCTGAAATGCCTTCAATCATTACAGCTTGTTCTGGTAGGGGAAAATAAATAAATCGAAAAACAAAACCCAAAGCACCCTAAAGATACCTTTTTTTTTTTTTTTTTTTTTTTTTTTTTCCCTGAACTGTATTATTTCTACCATTCCACAACAACCAAAACAACATCAGGATGAAGTTCTGATCTCTGATCAGGAGGATTGCAGATATGTTCAGTAGTGTACAAATGAGATATCTGGTTTACACTGTTTTTATTACTGATAATCACACATGACTTTGAAAAGATCTTGCTTAAAACAATAAATCCTGTGGTGTCACCCATGTTTTGAGTTAGGATGTTACACCTTTATTATGCAAGCTCAATGCATCACATCTTTACAGTTGTAGCAGAGGAACAATAATGAAGCCCTGCAAAAATTTAGAAAAGGAGCTTCAAGAATCTTTTGCCAACCAATCCAGAGCAAATGCTTCAGAAAAATTTTACAAGAAACATGATCAGCTCTGAGCAATCTCAAATCAGCTAACAAAAAGTTTTCAGTTCAATTTATCCTTAATCCAAAGCTTAGAGTCCCAATAAAACCTTTTCGTTTTTTATCTAATTCTCCAAGATCCTCCAATGACCATTCCTCAGGAGTTGACAAACAGCAAAGCAAAACTCTGCTGGCAACGCCTTTTTAAGACAAATTTTAATAATGCAAAAAATAAATGGGGACAAACTGAAAAAAAAAATTCTTGAACACAGAGCAAGTCATTTTCTTTTTGTATTATCTAAAAGATCCTAGGGATAATTCAAAATTCAATTATGTGGCTAAAAAAAAAAAAAAAAAGAAACAAGCAAACACCTTTTCCCTTACTTTTCATATCCCAAATCAAGCAAAGAAACAAAAATTCAACCCAAAACACACACACACACACACACAGAAAAAAACAACCAAAACCACAGAGCAAGCTGCAGTAATCATCCTCTGACATACGGCAACAAAAAAATCTGGAACAACTCCAGACATCCACTTAACAATACAGCTGTCATCATTCATTAGAGCATAAAATTTATTTTCAACATTCTGTACTTCATGTAAATTATACAACAAGTGAATGAGCTACAAACTAAAATGTTAAACTGTGAATTACAGCAAAGTATTTTAAAAATTTTGAATATCTAAATCAAGGAGTAAATAGGTAAATAGTATAATACATAAAAAGCACTAACACTAAAGTCTTGCCTATATCTGTTTCAAGTAACCCAGCATAGGTATCCAAAATTATATTATCATTCCTCTCTTACAGGAGGACTCAAAAATTCATTCAGAAGGATGAACATATTCATTGTGTGCAGAATGTTCTCAACTTTGTTTTTCTATCTTGATCATGCCAAAGTAATATTTTAAAATGAAGTATCAACAAAATGTTCAAAACACTAAGAATCACATTTAATACAATCTCTGTTTTGTTATCCTTTGATTCCTTACACAGTTTCATAGCCTACAGCATTTGTTCCTTAGCCCATTTCTTTCTTCCACACCATAGCAAGATGCAGAAATCATACTGCTACAAATGAGCATACAATCCACACGGCTTAAAAAGCACTTCACAGCTATGTAGTAGGCATTCTAGGATTTGGCAATACATCGTGTGAACAGAACAAAACCAGTATTCTGCATCCTAAAATATTACCATACGCCTCCTGCCACGTGTCTTTTTAAGAACACAAATGATTTTTTTATTCTTTAGCAAGCTGAGATTTTTTTATTTTATTTTTTTAAAGAATGTGTCAGAATTATTCATGCTGAAATAACCATTAAATTACCTGCTGCACATATCTGTCAGTAGTTTTCCACATGTAGTAATATTCAATGATACTAGTCAACGACTTCCAAGGGAGCTGAAAAACATGTTACAAACTGAAGTAGTTCCAAGAAATTGCAGTATTCACATTTTATTCAATACATCTTAAAATCACGTATAGCTTATGCAGAAATTTTAAAATGTCTATGCATTAAATACCTACCTTAAAAATCCATATGTATATAAATGCATGTACTACTAATACTAACAATCTTTCTTTATAATTAATAAAGATGCATAATTGCATGAAATAAATGACATATGGATTTGGATATGTAAGCCAGACAGTTAAACTAAATGATCAAAACAAAAGCAGGTGCGTCAGGAAGCACAAAGTTAAATCTGTTATGAAGTGCATCAGATTAAGAATGATATCAGCACTAAAATAAATCACCTTGACATGACTGTGTTGAAGTCTCATAATAGTTTTACTCTAAATAAGAAAAAAAATACACTGGTTGTAGTACTTAATTCACAGGTTTTTCAAGTCTCATAACAGCTCAGCTGCTCTTATAATACTGCTGGTTCTGCATCAACCACTACATACTCAACCATTAAGCACCAAACAAAAGGATGCAAGGGACAAATTGCAATAAGAGCAAAAGAGCAACAGAGTACTTCACAAAAATTTCTGAGCAAGATCAGAGTAGTTGAATATTACTATTATGACCTTCTTAACAATTTTGGGTGCACAAATTTATCAGTGAAGTGAAAATCTATGAGCCCAAAATCACAGATTCATAGACTAGGTTTACGGAAAAAAATTAAGCACAGAGCAGCTATTTCTAATTAATACCCAACTATCTACTTCACAGAAAGATTCAATTCTATCAATTCTCTATTACTTAAATTAATAAGAGCCATACAGATTTAATGCAATTTTTACTTATAACCTGGGATAGTATTTTGTGCACAGTATTCAATGGAGGCATGCATGAATGCTAATAGTAATCATGCTGTGAAAGCTTATCTTTGCAATCTTATTCATTTGAGTAAGTGGGGCTTTCTCCATGTCCTAAGACAAAAGAATAAGTTCCTGAAAGCAGCAGAAGAAAAACTGTATCAAACTACCTCTTCCAGCATACAGGAGCTTACAGCCAGTTTTTCACTCTGCTTGCTTTCAGACACTTTGGCGAACTGAATTTGGCTCCCATTTCTACATTCAAGAGCTGGGATTTGGGTTCAGATTTAGTTGTGTCTTCTTTTTCAGACAGCATACCACACTGTATAAATCTCTGGTCCAAACAACAGCAAGGTTACCTGTTTGCATTTAACTAACAAGTAGCAGTGCAGCAAATACATAAATTGATGCTGCAAAGAAACAGTAACAATTCAGTTTACTGAAGTTCATTTCCTTTCTCAGGTAAACGATGCCTTAAGAGAAATCTGCCCAAGAAAGGGCTGGTGAGTAGCACACACACCTTTAGTGTGAGTTGACAGGTGAGCTGCTTCTCAGCATGTCCATGTACTTCATGACACCTAGGTGAAACCCTATCTGTTGTCGTCAACTAGTCCATTTTAACTTCTCAATAGCCATTTTCTTTCCTCAGCATTTATGCTACTAATACATTCATGCCACAAAATATGTTTACCATTTCTCTAAACTTCCATCTGCTACAGCTATGACTGTGACATGAGTATGTTTGTTCACTCAATAGGCAACTGCAATTAATGGAAGATAATTAAGGTGGTTGAATTGGATAACCATAATCCTTTTTACACTGAGTCACACATCCCAGAAAACCTGTTTGACACACTGAGCATGAATTGCCTTTATTCTGTTTACTTGCACACCAAAATGATAACACGCTGTAGAGACACAAGAATTTTCCTCAGGTCACTCTTAACTGCCACAGAAACCATACGCAGATACAGAATAATATACTGCCATTATGAAATTATAATAAAAAATTAATTGAAAGACATACAAATGACCACTTCACTGACATTTTTGCAGGACAAAAATAACAATGAGTTTTAAGCAGTACAAAATCAGGAAGAGATAATTTTTGAGTTGTGAGTTTTCTACGGGGCAAAAAAGGACCATTCAGACCAGCATGAAAAACAGAGGACTAAGTTATTTTAAAATGAATGTGTTAACTTTACAGCATATTTACAGGACTTTTTGATACTGGAATCTCATTCCTATTTTATGTAAATAGTTTGAGTCAGATTTTCAAGGCATTTTTTGAGATATGAATGTCATAAATTTGTGAAAAATTATGATCATGAAAAAGTAAGAATTAAAATGCTGCTTAGGAAAATATGTTTTGAGAACACAAAATATTCACTCTCTTTTCCCATTTTATGACTGAGGCAATTCAAGTAATTCAAGAAAATTAAGTAATTGTAATTAAATTAAAAATTTTAGGTTGATTAGGATTCACATAGCTCCTTAAAGTCAGCAGAGCCTCAACAAATTAGCTCCTTTAACAGCTCATGAGTCAATAGCAGAAGAAAATGATTATTCAAAGACTAGACAGTAATGTGATAACGAATGAGCTGCTCCGGTCTATTAGAAAAGGTAAACTCCTTTATTCCATTTAATTTATAATAATTATTTTGCTTCCTAATATTTAATGTTATAGTATAAAGTTTGAACTGCAACATTAATGTCCACACAGTGCTGGTTCTTACTAATTGCTGGAAAGTAAATGAGATTGCCCTTTAGAGAATTATAATATAAGGGCTGCAACCGCATCTTGCCTTGTAAACCTGGACTGATTCAGAAGACAACTCCTGTGGTACGTAATGACTCAAAGCAGTATGGCATAACCCTCTTCTTCACAACGTTGCTATCAACTCCAGGACAGTCTTGCTTGCAAAGTAGCACCACGGTGCTGACTAAGCTGCTTAGGTTCAAGGTCTTAGACAGCATAGGATTAGATATAAAATGGGTGCTGAAACAAGTTAGCACACAGACTAGCAGTGCATTAACTTCTTTGTCTAGGCTTTTCCCACATATATAAGATTAACTTACAAGGTATGATAACTGGTAATCGATAAATGTATTCTAATGAATAATTAACTGCTGAGCACTAGAAATATACAGCTATCTCAGCATGCAGTCTTTTCATATTATCCATAACTTAAATCTTAAGGGTCTATATTAGATGATTACTTGAAAATAAAGGCTTGTTTTTAACATTCTTCAATTTTAGAATATTACAAAGCAAGTGAAAATATATAACTTTTACTTTGGAGAAATTAAGGTATCTCACAAGATTACATGATTAATGCAGTGGAGAGCTTTCAAATTACATAAATGTTATCTCAAGATTGTGTGCACGGTTACCAACACTGTATGAAGTAATATGTAAAATACATCTTCTAATGGTGCTTTAAAAATGGCATGTCAATTTTCCAAAGGTTAAAAGAAAAGTGACTAAGGATAGATACCGTTCCTCTTTTAATTAAGGGACTGTAGTTGATTACTATCCCACATTCATTTCTGCTCTACTCCTGACTAATCATTAATGCGCCCTCTTTAGGCTACAAAACTCTATCTTTAGATCTCTCACGTTTTGGGAGAACGGCAAGGGAAAATAAAGCACCCATGCTCTGGGAACTAATATTTGATGAAATAGAGAGGGTATCAGGAAAAACCTACCTGACATAAAAATCAGATAGATTTTAAGCTACTTTAAATAGATTCAAAGCTCACTAAAGTAGCTATATTTGAACACTAAGACACACACAAAAAAAGCTATTTCTACAACATATTCTTGCACTGTTTCAATCAACAGAATTTAACTATGTGTAATAACACATTAAAATTATACAGAAGTTTCTTTCCCATAAATAACAGAGAAAAGGCTTAGATTTCCTTGATCACAAGTTACTTTAGGTCACGACTTATAAAATAAGCAAATAAAATACACAGTAGATGCCTTAGCTAAATACTATTCATTACAGGACATTCAGTTAGAAGTCATAATAGTCAGCTACTCTATAATTACAGCTTAGGACCCACTTATCTGCATGATAATTAACAACCAAGTGTAGTTTGCATTGTTTTAGGTTCTAGAATTCTTTAATATTCCTTTTCACTCATTTTCTCAAATTTGAGAGCTCCTTCGTCCACAATGCAATTTTCTCCCTTAGAAATCAAGCAATTAAGCACACACATATAATACACCTGTTAAAATGTTGGTTCTCCAGAAAAACAATGGCCTTCCCTTCCCACTTTCATTCAATTATCTGCTTTATTCCAGCAGAGCTTAGTGTTTAGTCTCCTCCCAGTGTCCCATACACTAACTTAAAAGGACTTCTACATTGTACTATATAGTACTACTTTTCCTTTCCAAAAGTGATTAGTAACACCTACAAAGAAAACTAAAATTTGAATTCTCAGGCTGAAATTGCCATGAAAATATTTCATTCAGCTTCAATCTTAAATCCAAACTTTACAATTTTTTTTTGGCTTATATCCTAACCCTTTTCACAAAACCCAACTTGAATGATTTAGTACAACAAAGGAAATACTTTTTCTTGAAAAAGAGATTCTTCAAGAAACATGCAAGAAAAAATTGTAAACATTACTAACAATTTCAGCAATCAGTGCCAGAATTCATTTCATTTCATTACTCTGCAGTAGAATGCTGCAAGTTAAAGCTTTGCTGTCCTGTAGTGTGATGCTTATTAAAAAAAACCCTCTATTTAGAAGGTACTGGAAAACTTTTTAGAAATGCCAGAATATCTGGTATGTCAAAGTTACTCACTGTAGTGGACTTGAAAGCTATCTGAATACTTTTTCTCTGCTAACCGTAGAAAGGAATCTTAGAGTTTCCAAAAAAAAAAAAAAAAAAAACCCTGAGGAGTAAAGTGTATAGCTAATAAATTCCACTCAAAATTGTGAAGAAATTCTGACAATCTTCTGGAGCTTTTACAGATCTGTGTAAAATCCTCGTAAAATTCTCAAACAAAACACATTTCCATACAAGATGCCCTATCTGGCCAGGGGATTATCTTCTGCCAACATCTTTCTGAAGAACTCCAAACAAGAAAGAATATTTACTTTCATGTGGATAAAACATACACATTAATTACATATATTTCTCCTCCAGTTAATCTTAAAAACCTACAGAAAGTAGTTATGCTCACCCGTGTCACGGGAATAAAGAAGTCATCTACTTCAGTACTTACAAAGTCTTGTCGAATATCGTTGAAGTCCTTTCCATATTTTTCCAATGCCTCTTCAAACAAACTAGCTTCTGATGCTGACCATTCTTCCATTTCATCTCTACACAAGACAGGTCCTCCAACTGGCACCAGAACACTGATGGCACTGCTCAAATCATAGTTATGTTTATGCAATGTATCCATTGCATGAAACTAGGAAGGAGAGAATGAAAAAAAAAAAAAAGCTTGTTTAATTAGACAGTAGTCTAATTAACACAAATTCAGTGTATTATTTTCTATAGACTATGCAACAAGCATCAAGTAAAGCTAAATTTAGAACGTATTTTGATATCACAGGATTTCCACTGTGAAACATGAGGAAAATAAATTCTTTATTACTTAATCTGGGAAAGGAAACATCTTAATAAAATGTTTGCTAAAAATAACATTAGTTAATTAGATCCTGCAAATTACCAGCAAACATTTCTAGAGAATCTTTACTTGGTAGAAATTGGTTTCAAGTAACCCAGTGGAGACAACGGCCTATATTGACTGAGGAGCAATTTTAATTAGGAAAACTTCTAAATAGTAGCTGAAGAGCTTCTCAGATATACCTATGCTAAATATTCTCACTTCTCAAAAAGGAAATGATTTATTGTTTTCATTATCATCACATAGAAAAACAGGTAAGATTTTTGCCCCTTGATAAAACACTGGAGATTGAAAAATTAGGTGTTTGGTTTACTTTACTTTCCCTGTAAGTGGAAAAAGAAAACAAACACGTTACAGCTTTCTTAACTTTACAGGTAACACTGGACACTCACAAATTACTACGAACATTAAAAGGAAGTTGTTATTTCACAGACCCACCTACATGGAAAATGAGGAACATGCAAGAAGCCTTTCCAACTCAACATCCTGAAAGCCTATCATCACAACCTTAAATCACTGGGTTGAAGGTGGCATAAAAGGTATTAAGTGCAATACAGTCTGTATGTGATTGCATGTCATTGATTTGCCCCATGTTGGGCAGTGAACTCTAAGGATAGCATGCACCCTGTCACATAGTCCTAAATTCATCTTATGAAAACTGAAACATTTGAAGGAAGGAATGGTCAGTATAGTGCATATACTGAAATTCCAGTTGAGTTTCTGCATACAAAATGCAAATAATGGATTCTCTTTATCTTCTGTCATCTCCTATGAGGTGCAAAGTCTTTCTCCAGCTCTCCATATACCTCTTTGAAAACTATCAGAGACAAGATTCTCAAACTGTTTAATCTGCAAGAGATAATGTCACCGTTATCCTACAATAAGTTTCTTCACTTATGGTTCAAGCCACATTCACCAGCCTTGAGAAGAAGCCACTGTTAACATGAAGTATTCTAATATGGAAACACTGTAGAATAAAGTTTAAATTCAAAATCTTCAGATTAGAGAATTAAATTACTGATCTATGGCTTACAATGTGATAAAGCAAGCCTAAAGATTGAACTCTTACAATAAGTTTAAATTGTAGCCCTCATGGAAAAGCAGTATATCCTGCAAATTTTCCAAGCTAAATCCAAATTTAATCATTGAAATCAATGTTCTTAAAAATTACAGTAGAATAAATCCTTGCTCTTTCTTTACATTCATTTTCCCACTTAAAATGAACCTATAACACCTATAAAGGTGTTTTTTTTTTTTTTTTTTTTTTTTTTTTTTTTTTTTTTTTTTTTTTCCCTGATATTGCTGAAATTGACAGAGTAATCTGTGGGAAGAACAACCTCTACTGAGCTATTCTGCAACAGAAGACTACTTACAAGTTCCTACGGTAACACTATCTGCCTTCTGCAGGTCTGTCAGCCTCCACTTAAAGGAGATTCCCACATTACCATGAGTAAAATGCACCAGCAAAAGCAAGAATAACCAAAAGATACTGTACAAGACAAAGTCCCGAAGTTTCTCTTTTTTATCTCTTTTTCCCCAAGGATGAGAGGACTACAAGAAACAACTAATGGGAACGAAATACCCAAGGAGCAGAAGGCTGGGAAGAGCTGTCAGTCAGTGACTCTCTCAGATAGAGACCAGAAGAAAACATGAGCCACTCACACTAAGCAACTTTGCCCAGAGCATACTCTCCAACAGAAATGAGGGATCTCACCAGAGGAAAGATATTGCCCACACAGACATAGGGAATTTCAAGCTCAAACTTTAACTGACAAAGAAAGAAGATGTCCACTTAGCCCAGAAAAGCAGGACAGAGCCAGGAAAAAAAGCACTAGCAGGGCATATTGTAAACAAGCTCTAACAGTTCCCAAAACAGACGCAATTTCAGTAATCAGTTAAATAAACTAGACTGAAGTGCCTCCAAGATAGCATTAGAACTGGAAACTGAATATGGATATTATAAATTCAACAATTTTGACATGATTATCTTATGTGCCATGTATACAGAAGTCTAGTAAAATTTAAAAGTCTTATCATCAACAATTGGTGCAAAAAAACATATGTTCATACTTTAACTTTCAAGAGACATCCAAGAATAGATCTCCTTCTTTATAGTAAAATAGCATGGGCTCATGAGAACAAGCCTCCCACAGCCAGCACAAACTGAATATGTCAACCTCCTCTGCTTTAAGGGCACTCACCTCAGTGTACACATCTTGCAACATTTTGGAATTTGAAACAGGAGACCTTTCTTCTCAGAGACCGATTTCATTCTAAAAGAAAACACTCTGCCTGGGTGCACCAGAAACACTATCTTTAGTTGTCTCACCAGAGTGTATTCTTGTAACAAACAAACAAAAAGCAGAAGTACACTATCGTCTAGGAAGTTAAACTCACATGGTTTCATGTCTGCCATGGAGATTTTCTAAACAACTTCGTAATTTCCTGCCTTATCTCATTACCTTTCCCAGATTTTCAAGATAAAAAAGACTGAAAGTAGCCTCTCACTGTTAATATCACAAGACCTTTCCTAATTGCATACACCTACCCTGAATTTTCTTATGTTTATAAGCTATGCTCTCAGATTGCTTACAGTCATCTCTAACTGGAACAACTAATTAAAAAGACTAGAAGCCCACAGACATGGCATACAGAATCTCTGTGTGAATCTCCATTAATAAAACTTCAGGTGCAAGGGTTATCCAGCACTAAGAATACCAATAGCTTAATTGTCTTAGTATTAGGCACCTACATCCTTTCCAAACCATAAATGAGACCCACCACAAGTTCTGCAAACGTCTGTACTAACTTTAGCTGCTGTTCAAAACATGCTCCTAATTAACATGGGAAAATATGAAAGAATAATTACTAAAATGACAAATATGTCTTTTCTTAACTTAGAAGGAAGTACATTGCAAAAGAGGGTTTTAAAAAGCTTGTGGGGGTAGGAAAATGAGAGAGAGCAGACAGACACAATAATTAAATCTGGGGAGGTTCCTCTAGTGCCTCATTATAAGATATGCCTTTCATTAAGTGTAATAGAATTTAATGGATCATTTGCAACGCAGAAACTTTTTATGGCACTCAAACATTAAATGCATCCCTTTATTAGCAGTGCTGCACATTTACCTTCAGAGAGAAACTTCTATAAGAATCAATCTATTCTCTTAACCATTGAATACAGTTAAGAAGGATGTACGTTGTGAGAGATTTATCACAAATTCTTAATCCAATGCAATATTAATAAAATAAAAAATGTCAAATGGAAGAACTATTATGATGGAAAAACCGAAGTATTTAATGGGAACAGAATTATGCCAGCAAGGCCATATCAGCAAGCATGAAACAAAAAACAGCTTCAGAATACAGAACATACTCTCTTGAGCATTACTGAAAAAGTTACCTTCTGCCACTGCCATGCCACAGCAGTCCAGGCTGTCAGTTTCCTATTTAATAGCCCTTGAGAGTACATGGTAAAATGTAAGAAATCTAATATTTTTCTCATCATACTAATGAATATAATTTACCCAGAATATAAGAAGTGCCCTACTGAATCAGATCAGTCGACCACGTATTGAAGTATTCTTTCCTTGTCAGCAGAACTAGAAAACTTCACTTAGAGAGTAAGTCCTGGGAATTGCAAGTGCTAGATGATCAGCTTCTCTCTGGCTCTTACTATCAACTCACGGATCCATTGTCCATAAGTTTTCTAATCTTTTTTTTTCCTGCTAGCATTTCTTGTTCCTTCAAAACCTTGAGGCATTGAATAGCAGAGGTGCTCTACTGTATAAGGCAATACCTCAATTCAAGATTTTCTAGCAACAGTTTCATTGAGTGTCCTCTAGTTCAAACATTCAATTACCTGATAAGTAATGGACCTTCTTTACTATCATCTCTATATTGTACTTCATAGGTGTCCAACCTTTTGGCTTGCTTGGGCCACCCTGAATAAAGAGGAATTGCTCTGGGCCACATAAGCATAGGTCACACCAAAAGTAATGCCTCCTATTTATTTTTATGGAAACTACAATAAATGCAATGAACATGATAACTGTATTTGATAGAGCAAATTCTCACCTACAGAATGCTGTTTTTCAATATGGTCACCACTATGAGCTATGCATTTTTTCAGTGATGAACAAGAGCCTGCACATCATGCTTGTCAAAACCTGCACCACTGGAGGTGACCCACAGACACTGTAATCATTGCTGAAATGCACCACCCACCACCTCACTATGTTCACATCCACTGTTTGGTCCCTGGAAATATTCAGCGTCAATGAGTGTCAGTGGCTGCAGATTTTCCTGCACGGAGGTATTTAGCAGACTGCTCCTCTGCTGCCACCTGTTACACAGCAATAAATGTAATAGAATATCGGTGGGAAGGTTCAACTGCTATTGCCATGCCACCAACATCTGCCTCTGATATTGTGGGTGAATAAAATAGGAGGCATTGCTTCCAGAGCAGCCCTTGTAAAATATATAAGCAATATAACTTATTTTAACTGTTTGTATTTGTATTAAAGCATTAAAATAAAATTAAAAAAGCAACAAAAACATAAAACTAGTGGAATATTTGACTTTTTTTTTTTTTTACTTTTTTTTTTTTTTTTGGCGAACCTAATGCATCAATCTGGTTTGATTACAATCATTGCTGTTCTTAACAAGTTCTCAAGCTGCTTGTCAGAGATTTTTGATGAAATTTTACTATTCCTGTCCTTCATCCTTCATAATAGCTGTTCACAAGTGTATATACTGCAAGAAATTGATGGATAAATAAGGCATGACTGTGAAGCAAGGGATGTTTTTCTGTGGTAAGAGTTCTTATGACACTCTGGTAAAGAGGCATATTTAATTTTTCTTTGAGTTGAACACCTGATTGCAATTCTACATCTTCCACTTAAAAATTCACAAGTAATACATTTATTGCAACTGAAATTAGAATTGCAAATATATAAAATATATATATATATATTTTTTCCAGAAATCTTGAAACCTACCCACAGATTCCTTTATCAGAATGCAAAGCAAGACAACACGGCTTTTTTTGCTGTTCAAAGGACTGCATGTAGCCAATGTATCAAAATGCATACAATCACTTCCCATGACTTACCACTATGTTGAGCCCTCCCTGTGTCCTAGTTTCAGCTCAGACAGTGTTAATAGCACACTGATGGTTTGGCTGTTGCTGAGTAATGGGTGTGTGCCTGGAACCAAGCCAGGCTGCTCGATGGGGAAGAATCTGCCTTTATAGCACAGAGCAAGGGGTGGCTGCATTGTGAGCTGCGCTGGGTCACACTTGGTCCACCAGTTGGACATGCCTGCTACACTGTACCACCTCTTGGTATACAAATATTTAAAATAATGAACTCCTGCTGGTGTCTTTGGAAGCTAAAAATCAAACTCATTTCTATGAAAGAGTAAGATTTTGTTCTTATACTGCTTTCCTTTTAATCCCTGTAGCACATCTTGTCATGTCAGCCACTATGAATATGCAAAGATAAACTTAGGTCTGCAATTAGTACACTAATTAATACACTAAACTAAAAGTAAAGTAAACTAATAAATAAAATAAATACTTTTTAAATACTTTTTAAATACTAAATAAAAAAACTAATAAATAAACTAAAAGTAAACTAATAAATACACTAAACTAAAACACTGCAAACTAGTACAACTTCCTCTAAAAGATGGAGGTGCTTATATCATAGTGACTACTTCAATGAACTAAGTAAGCATCCTAAGGATATCCTAAGTAAAGTGTTCTTCAAGAAGTTGTTTACAAAATTCTATTGCTTATACTCTAGAAAATTTACAGGCACAGAGGTACAATCAGCTTTATTACAACATATTTTAATTGACACTACTTGTGGATTCTACTAGAGCTCTTTGCAACAAGCACTACCCTGTTTCCTGCAAAAATTGTCACATGTGAAGATGTTTAAACAGATCTCATTTGAAGCCAAGTGATTTATGGTACGATTACAATGGCAGCACTAACAGGTTATAGAAAATGCACAGGATTTGCTACCATATACATGGAAATAATCCACACAGGTATCTAGGTGAATTCAAACATCCAGGGGACAAAGACTCCAGATTAGAAACACACTACTGAAATCACAGATGTAGAAAAGCTGTAGGGTTTTTAACAAGCCACCTACCAATGTGATGTCTCGGGAAGCAGCAGCCGCGCTCATGTGTAAACTAGGTTGCCTGACAGAACTACTGCAGTCCAATGCCCGAGCAAACGTGCCAACCGCACTGCAACAGAGAAAGAGCATAGACAGTAAATGCATAAAGATTTTAATGATCTATACCTTCTTTTTGAAAGACCAGACTATACAATAGGCAAAAAGGTGTAATATTAAAATAACAAGGCACATACTATAACTCTAAGATTTCAGATCTTTGCTAATTTTGTAAAGGCTAACTACTGAATACTGCAGTAAAAATTCTGACCTTCTTCCCCAAAAGTAATATCCCACATGTAAGAACAACTTGTTTGAAATCACCTACAAATGAAAAATACTCATTCTTGTGTAGCTTATTTCCTTAGAAGTCAAAGACTTTGTGTTTTGCAACTGTGACAACTTTTTCAAAATTAGAAAGCCAAATCATTGTATAATACAATTTTAAAATGTAGTTCACCAACATATTCCTGTGAGGAAATTAATAACATTTTATTCACTTCAGTAATGCATGTCGGCTATTTCTATTAGTAAACAAAACACAGTAGCACCTCCAAAGTCATACTTTTGTCACAGTTGTAAAGTAATAACGAACACGCAGATGCTTCACCCTAATTAATAAAAGCATAGCAGTATCACCAAAATGGGACATGATTTTCTCCAAACTTCTACTGTTTTGTGGCACAGAGATGGAGACTCAATGTGATAGCATATCTGAACTGTGAAATTTTTTTAAGAGCACATCCATCAGATATTACGCATGGTGATGGGAAAGATCTACAGAATAATTTGACTGGGCTCAGCCCATCAGATAAGAAGTGAGCAAGGATGTAATGATACATGAGAAAGATAATTAATAAAACAAATCACTCCAGTACCCTTAGAGTTGAAAAAACGTCCTTAAAGTGCATTGTGGCACTGCGATTTTTGAAAAAATGATTTGCTCCAAATATAACACAATGCAAATCTCTCTAAATTGATATATCTAATTACAGTATCAAACATTTTTAATATAGCGTAAACATCCGGACTAAAGACTGGAACCTCTTACAATAGTTATATCTCACACAAGTTACAAGAGTGGGATTATATCCATGAAGTAAGTCAACCTCCACAGACATCAACATACATCAACCATCAGACTACTGCATACTACAAACCTAATATTCAGTGACAAAATAGTAAGCATCAAGAGTTTTACTCGCTATGGATTATTACAGGTAGGGGAGAAATTGGTAACAACATCTGTTACTGAAATATTATCCTCAATCTCAAAACATTTAATATTGAACACATTTCAGCACACCACCAAAAACATTTAAGACACAATTAAGATTAAACAGCAGTGATTCACATACTGCAGACATTAACTGCTTCAATTTCTAAAGGCTGTGGAGTAAATAAGCAATATCCAAACACTGTTCTGTAATCTTTGCTCCTTCTATACAGTGATAGCAAATACTTGACAAACATCTACACAGTTTTTTTTTTTTTTTTTTTTTTTTTTTTTTTTTTTTTTTCTTTTAATACTTGGCTATATATAAATCAATATCTGTCCACAGATCAGTCCCAACAATCTACTGGGAACATATACCCTGATAGTCAACCCCTTTAAACATGTTGGCCTTGATGAGGGTTGTAGCTAACAATTTTTGCTGTGATCCTTTTGTTGCTACTGCTCAAACCAGTAAGGCAGCATGCAGCATGACTGTATTTCCCTTCTGCTGCTACCTACTAGCTTATCTCTTTTCTTGCATAATTAACACTACTTTATTTGACCATAATTCTAAAATAAAATCAGAGCACATTAGGAAAATTACAAAATAGTTTCTACCACATTAAGCTGCTTACAAAATTTCCAGGCTATCTTCAGGGTAGAAGGGTACATGGATGACATTGCTCAGTACATAAAGTCAAAATTAAGAGACGTGATAGAACTAGGTTCATTTCAAGAAAGTGATAAAAGGATAAGAATTGAAGTACTAGTTGATATCACTTCCAATGCTGTTCTGGGTAGGACAAGATCATAATCATGGTGATTGCTATGCTGGACTGTGGGTTATGTGAGCGCAAAACATCCCAGAAATGCCACAAAGCACAGGCAGTGTGCTGTTTTAAGCAGAAAGGATGGGTCATCTGCAGCTATATTTCAAAATCAACTTATATGTCAACTTCCCTGAAAATTTCTGAAAGACTGAGTTTTTCAGACAATCCAAAAAAGTGTAGAAATTCTAGAACATTTGACTGTTAAATATTTAAGTAGTCTCAAAACTTAACACAGTAATACGCTGCCCTCCATATAAACCAGCCATGCAGTCAAAATGAAAACTTAAGTATTTACTTTAAAAATATTAAAAAAAACCCTATGTTTTTTTTGTTTGTTTTCCCACTAAAAACACACATATAAGGCATATATTGATATAAAGTCCATACATTTCCTTTATGTTTTTTCCTTGAATGACTTTTTAATAATACTACCATGAAAGAGTAATTTAAAATTGTTAAAAAGAAAAAAATCCTCATCAGTACTCATTTACAAATGACACCCTATTGCCTATACCTACCTGCTAGCAAAAAAAAATTTTGTTCTTCAGCCAAAGTAGCCTAAACCACCACACTGTTCTTTTTCTGCTTTTTTTTTTTTTTCTACATTTAAGTGTATTCTTTAATGTAAGATAACCAAAAATGTTCCTGCTATTGTCAAGCCTAGAGAGGAGAAGGCTCAGAGAGGATTTAACCTCAGTAGAGATGAAAAAGATGGAGCTAGATTTTTCTCAGCAGCACCCAATGAAAGAAGAAAATGCAATAAGCAGAAAATGAAACACCAAAATTTCCATTTAAACACATGGAATTTTTTATTTCCCTTTTTTCTTTGGTTAGATTAGTACCCACCAATATCCACTAGTATTACATAATAGTGGATGCTAAGTCTGCAGGATCAGAACCACCAAAATGGCCAATGGCATCCTGGATTGTGTCAACAGTGCTGCCAGCAGAAGCAGGGAGGTGATTGTCCCCCTGTAGTCAGCTCTGGTGAGGGCTGTACCTTGAGTACTGCACTCAGTTTTGGGCCCCTCACTAGAAAGAAACTGAAGCCCTGGAGGTGTGTCCAGAGAAGGGTAACAAAGCTGGTAAGGGGTCTGTAGCACACATCCTATGAGAAGCAGCTGAGGGAAATGGGATTGTTTAGTCTGGAGAAGAGGGGACTCAGGAGTAACCTTATAGCTCTCTACAACTACCTGAGAAGAGGCTGTGGCGAGGTGGGGGTCAGTCTCTTCTCTCATGTAACTAATGAAAGGACAAGAGTGGATAGCACCAGGGGAGATTCAGGTTGGATGTTAGGAAAAATTTCTTCTCTGAAGTAGTGGTCAGGCACTGGAATGGGCTACCAGGGTGGTGAAGTCACTGTACCGGGAAGAGTTCAAGAAATGTTTAGATGTTGTATTGAGGAAAATGTTTTAGTGGAGAAATATTGGTGGTAGGTGTACGATTGGACTGGCTGATTTTGGAGGTCTTTTTAAAACTTGGTGTTTCTATGGTTCTATGAAACATATAAATGTAGAAAAAGGCTTTTTGCTCTTGGGACACTAAACAAATCCTGTCAGACTACATACATAAGGAAAAATATATACATTCTTGCAAATGGGCAACACAAATAGAAAGAGTATTTTATCACCTTCTAACAAATACAGTATGCTTGAGTGACTGAAAAAGCTGTTGCCTATAACATCTCTTCTTTCATCTAAAGCAGACAAAAAAAAAAAAACCACATGGGAATACATACTCCATCAGGGGGCATCACCTTTAAAAAGATCATACAAAAAGGTTTTTTAAATGCCCGCTTAAAAAAAATTACACATAAGAAACGACTCAGGAAAAAGTTCTTATTGACAGAATTTCAAATTTGCCAGAACAATTTCCAGTCAAAAGACAAATAACATCTCACTAGAAACGCAGCAGGCACAGCCAATGCCCAGATAACTGCAATGAAGATATAGCAGATGGATCTTCTGAGTCCGTAGAAACAGATTAATCACACCATAATACCAATTGCATACTCAAGCAACTTTTACTGGTCCAGCATAATGATGAAAGCCTTTACCTGCAAGCACACAAAATGCTGAGTTTAAAGCTGCCCTAATTATCACAGGAGAATTTTTAAATCAGTAAGTCTGTTACAGAACCACACACACAAAAAAAAAAATTCTGATCCTGAAGCCTGTGAAAGCAAGCATATAGAGAAGCCTGGAAAGTGTTCCTGTCAGTTCAAAAGCAGCAAAGATGAGTGGAAGAGCTATAACCAAGACTCATTCTCTCTGTAAAAATATCCTGTGAAGTTTATCAATTTCTACATGAACGCAGACTTTGTCAGGTATACACAGCACTGCATATGATGTCATAGCTAAGGGGAAGAAGAGATTCTCAAAATTTCAGTCATTTGTTCTATTACTTCCCAGTAGATTGCCTACTGGCACAATTGCTTCCAGAGGAGAACATTTTCAACTTGACAGTATACTACTTCACTACTTCAGCTCCCTAGGGTGGCTGCAAAATGGGAAGTGGAGGGAAGTGAAGGCAATGAATAAACTCTGCAAAAACATTCAATCAGTTTTGTAAATCTTCATCATAGGACATAAGACCTTCCACTGATCATGGGAAGTTAATGCAATCTTTCCAGATTTCATCAAAGCTTTTGATATTCTTTCTCACAGTATCATTCTGGAAAAAACGTCCACCAAACAGCTAGACAAGTACACAGTATCATGGGTGAATAGCTAGCTGACGAGTCAGGCTTAAAAGGCGAAAGTAAATGCAGTTACATCATGTTGGCAGCCAGTCACTAGTGGTCCCATTCTAGGGCCAGTTCTCTTCAATACTTTCATCAATGACAAGGATACAGAACTTGAAAGTACACTTAATAAATCCACAGATAATGTTAAATTGGAGAGAGCTGTTGACACAGGAGAAGAGAAGACTTGCAGAGAGATCTTGCCAAATTAAAGGACTGAGCAATCACCAATCCAGCAAGTGTTGGTCCCTGCACCTGCAGTAAGGCAACAGAGGATATACAATACAGACAAGAGAATGACAGGCTGGAGTGCAGCCCTATGGAAAGAGATTTGAGTGTTCTGATTTATGGCAAGTTGAATATGAGTTAGGCGTGTACCCTGGCAGCCAAAAAGGGCACTTTGGGGTGCCCCAGGCCTAGCAGTGCAAACTGGGTGAGAAGAAGGGTTATCTATACTCTGCTTTGTGCAGCCTCACCTCCAGCATTTGGTGTAGGTATGGGCGCCACAATATAAGGACATAAGCTATTAGAAAGCATGCAACAGAGGGCTTCAAAGATGGTGAAGGATCCGAAGGACAAGGTGTGTGAAGAGCATTGAGGTCCCTGGGTTTGCTCAGCCCAGAGCAGAGGAGCTGAGGGGAGTCCTCATGGAGCTACAGCTCCACAGAGTGGAGGGGCAGTGCTGATCTCTGCCCTCTGTGCACAGCAACAGGGCCCAAGGGAATGGCATGGAGCTGTGCCTGAGAGGGGCAGCTGGGGGTTAGGAAAAGATTCTGCACCAGAGAATGGTAGGCATAGCACAGGCTGCCCTGGGCAGTGGGCACTGCCCCGAGTTGCAGGAGTTGAAGGAACATCTGGACAGTGCTCTCATCAAGTTTGAATTTTGGGTGGTCTCATGCAGAGCCAGGAGTTCGGCTCCATGTTCTTTGCGCGTCCCTTTCAACACATTTCATCCTATGATTTTGAGACTCCATTTAAGATGGAAGAGTAAAATAGTCAATCAGCAACTCAATTCACTGCACATGTAAGCTGGGAAGTATAAAGCAATTTCTCCTTTTGTTTTTTCCTCTTCTCCGGAACTGCTTTTTAAAAAGGAGAGAAAAGAAGAACAAAAATAGGAAACAGCATTAAAAGATCATTTGCCTAGCAAGATTAGAGAATATGCTCTGCAATCAGGTTAGAAAAAAGAACAGAGACAGAACAAACCAAGATAACATCTCTATGTCACCCACAATCAACAGTACTCTGTTAGCATTTTTCTAAACGAGAACAGAACTTTTGTAATCTATTCCTAACTGTGAATTGAAGGACAAGAGAAACATGCTGTAGAATCATCCTTCAGTAAAAACATTTTCTAAAATTTGTCAAAACTCTGTAAAGTGGAGAAATTACTTTAAAAGGTATTTGTGAATTCCAATGGCTTCGATGGTCCTTAAATTAGTTTGCATAGTCATATGTTAATTTATAAAATTGAACTGACTGATTCTTTTCCACTAACAAAAAGCATCACTTCACAACTGAAATAATTCCACTGCATATTAGTCAACTTATATCTGTTAGCAAATCTGGCAAATTTTGCATTCATTGCAATTGTTTACACCTTCTTTATTTCTTCTTTATATCACACCATGAAATTCAAAACACTATAGTAGTACAAGACAAATATTAGCACTGAAATCCTATTTCAAATTACTCTGATAGGAAAACAGAATGATGTCTACATCTAAATATCAAAATCTACTACAATCTTAAATACAGGCAGTCTAGCACAAGTCGCTCTCTTTTTCTCTCTCTTCTGTACTGGTAAACTCAATAAATATTCAGAAGTTTCTGTTCTGATTTTCTCTTTTAGCTAACTGTGGAAAACAGAAGGGCTCACAATATGGTAAACAAGTTGAGTAACACGATAAAGGGGAATAAATAATCAGTAGAAAAAGGAAAAGGATTCTTTTTTTATTAGAGGATTGTAATCTTACCGTGCTACAACTAAAAACTGGTCAATCTGACGGTCTGTAAGGGGGCTATCTGGATCCCATATTTTTACTTCCAGCTTTGCCTGTTCTCTGTCATCTAATTCTCCTGTCAAAAGGTAGATGGGACAAAACACTTATTACTCACAATGTTTTTCTCTATGTACTTCTTGAACTACTTTTAAAAGAGACATTGTACATTTTAATATAAACATATTGAGTACTTAATAATCAGCAGTTATTCATCTAAATTCCATACTGAAACATTTGTAAAATAAGTATCTTCCCTTAACATCAGTATTTTGTTTTAAGGAGGCATTCTTAAAAGGTGCAGTATCAAAGAACTTTAATAAAATGTTATCACGAGCTTGAAACCAAAACGTAAATAACCAGTGGGGATTTTAAATTGCTTCTCAACTATATTAAAGTTGCACTTCAGTCACATTAAAATTAATTTTACACTTAACCAGTTAGAGCAATTAAAAAGCCCATTTGTAATTTGCATACAACTCCAAAACAGAAATTCTGGAGCAATGCTACCTACTACATTTAATTATTTTTTTCACCTCTTACTCTCATTCTTTACATTATCTGCATTATTAACATTAATCATATTATTACAATTGCATTGTATACTGGCTACTTAAACCCACTTACAAAATAATAAGGCTACAGCACAATAAAGTTACCATACAGTACATAATCATTTTCTAAGCCCAGTTGTATACAGAGAGCAATCTGTGTACACACACATGGCTGAAACAACAATGGAGTTTTCAGAGATTTAATTTGCACTGTGTTCATTATTAAAAAACATTATTTTTCCAAGCAATACACAAAGTATAAAAACACTAAAATGATTCACATTCATATTGAAGCTTAAATCTTTTCTTCACTACTATATCAATAACTACTACAGTGAAATGAGAAACACAACAGGCTGATTAAATAATCACACTCCATCTACTTAGCATAAGAATACCTACCTATGCAACACGGCCAACACAGTTGGAACCACAACACATGAAGAGCAAATCACCATTCACCTTTGGTATTTTAGAACATAAGCATATTCTTCCTTCAGTGAAGATGTGATGAACTCAAGTGTTCAGTTAATTTCTAATGCTTCTCTCTGGCTTGTGTGAGATACTGCAAGAATAAAAACCTGCTTTTTCCCTCAAAAAGTTTACTTGTGTAGGTATTTCTCACTGAGCACAGAGAAAATAACTATAGTCTCTGTTATTTCTCATGAGTTAATGGGAATGGATAGTCTATATATGCATAACATCACTAAGACATGAAAAACACTGTACTCATAAGAGTCTGGAAGCAGACTGCAAACAAAGCATCAGATCTTCTGAAATTCTATTAGGTATGGCATGTTTGTTTATTGCATCAAGTCTGCAACGAAAACATGGTATATATTCATCCCTGCCATAAGCACAAGTTAGAATTGCATCATGATATTTAGCTAATGTGTCAGGAACACTCTTATAAAAACTAATCAAAATAACTTTTTTTGATGCACAAGCAATAAAACCTTGTTGGTCTAATAGGACTTATGCTTCTGTTTAAGCTAATTCACATTCAGAACTAGAGACAAGATTTCTAACACTCTCAAGTATGATTTTTTTGTCTATAAACTTATTCAATGGACTACACACTTGTCAATACAATCATTTATTCCATCTGTGGCAGACACATTGTGGGTGATGTTCTTTATTTTATAAATAACCTCAGAGCACTTCATTTCAATCTGTTAATATAGTTTTAAAGTACTTTTCATGTTACTTAACTGTTTCAGGACATCAAATCCTGGAGATCTTAAATGTAGAAGTACGACAATAACCAATACTTGGATAGGCCATGGTTCACAAAAAGAAAAACTTCATACAAACAAAATACAGATATTCAACCAAAAGATGTCATTCTCCTGAATCAAGTTTGCAAAAGGATATTTAAAATTGACTAACAGATGTCCTACTTCAACTAGAGGTAATCAATTTTCTTTTACTACAAAATCTTATTTGAACTGCTGATGAAAGTAACTCTGAAATACTACTGAACTATAGTTTGCATACATAGATAAGATAAAAGCAACAGAATCTATACCAAAAGAGTCCATATGACTTACAAGATAATTGTTGCAGTGACATTTAATATTTCAAATATGGTAGACAGGGAGGTATCCAATATATACATAGTCTCTTACAAAAAGCAGTTACAAGATATGCTTTCTTTCTGATTATTATTATTGTTATTTGCCAAAATGGCAGGAATTGTCAGTTCAGTAGGAAGAAAATGAACATAAATAGTTTAAATTGCAGACAAGCAGAGCAGCTGAAATCTTTTCTTCAGAAACAAAAATTGCATACATATCCTGAAGAAATCAGTTTAAAAAGATCCCATAAAATAAACAACTAAGCCTTCTTTTCAGAGGCATTCACTCAACATCACAGAATGCCAGAGTTTGAAGGGACCTCTGGAAATAATCTGGTCCAACTCCCCTGCTAAAGCACGTTCCCTACAGTAGGTTACATAGAAATGCATACAGATATCTCGAATATCTCCAGAGAAGGAGAATCCACAACCCCCATTAGCAGCCTGTTTCAGTCTTCTGTAACCCTCAAATAAATTTTTCCTCATGTTCATATGGAACTTCCTGTGTTCCAGTTTCTGGCAGCTGCCCCTCGTTCTGCTGCTGCTCACCACTGAAAAGAGTCCCCATCAATTCAATACCCACACTTTACGTATTTATAAAAAGTGATGAGATCCCCCCTCAGCCTTCTCTTCTCCAGGCTGAACAGACCCACATTACTCAGCTCTTTCTTGTAAGGGAGATGCTCCAGACCCTTAATCATCTCTGTGGCCCTCACTGGACTCTATCTAGAAGATTCTTGTCTTTCTTGAACTGAGGAGCCCAGAACTGGACACAGTACTTCAAATGTGGTCTCACCTCCTTCAACCCGCTAACCATGCTCTGTGTAATGCATTTCAGAAAAGATCTGATCTCAGTGAACTCCTACCCTTTATTCTTCAGCTTTACATCTGTGAAATGGGTACAGTATTTCTCAGCTATACTTCAAGGATATGGAAGATAGTTACTTAACATTTCTTACCCTCCCTTAGACCAGCACAGTGTGCAACACAATGAAATTTCCATTACTGAAATACAGAACCAGAGTTAGGAGACACAGCTTTTAGCTGATTATTATCTGAACTGTTGGGAAGTATATTAACAGCAGGTAATCCTACATCTTTTAGAACACAGCTTCACATGCTATGTAACACTTCAAAAACAGAAAACTAATAACTGAAAATGAAATTTCAATTCAGGAACTACCTTCTTAATCTGACACTTAAGACTGCTGGAAAACAGTTTCTTTAACTTACAGAAGAAAAACAGTATCACACTTGTTTGTTTGTTTTTCTTGCAGTGTTTAGCAATGAACAAAGTTCCAGATATCAAACTTGCTTGTCTAAAGTAAAATCTAAACATTCTCCTCCAATATCACTTCCTTAGTTCCACTCTTAAGCACTCAGCGTATTTCTCCTGTCTATAATGAATATACAGAGGTTAATCATCACAAAACATCACACAGCTTTTCAGGAACAACTAACAGCAGGATGGAGGGGTGAGAAAACAAGCTATAAAATTTTCCCTGCCACTGGGAAAAGGAGTTTTACATTAAGGTTAGGATGAAAACATCTTTCAGACTGTTATACAAACTATTTACTGACACTTCATGAGTTCAACTTTACATATATTGAATTCATTGTAAATAGCTGGAACACTTGATCTTAACCAATGGAAATTACAATCTTCCTCATTAAAGCTCAGCAGACAATTCTTATTACTTGTTTTTTACTTTTTAAATGATTTCCAATTGTTGCTAGCATTGGCAATAAAAAAATCACCCAGAGAAAGATTCAAAACCTTAAACTCAACCTGATATACATGCTGCTAACTTCGCTGATGAAGTTACCATGAGAAAGCCTAGATTAGTTTGATATTATAAAGCAAAAGGAAAACTACCCGTTTATTGTTCAGTTACAGCACAATTTTTTTCCCCTGACCTCATTAACCTACCTGATAGTAGTATATACAAGATATTAATTAGTCCTTCAGACAATGTGTTCTATTATTTATAGAAGTGGTATTCTAAAACTTAATACATTAACATAACACACATAAAAACAGTAGTAGTGAAAAACAGTCTACATTAAGATTACATGTATAGAGACCTCGAAGCAAAGTTATCAGGAGATAGAAACACATTCTTGGTCTCCAGCAGGCAATTTAAAACAGCTGCTGACCATTTTTTCAGCCAGTAAACCACATATACTTCAATTGCCTCCTACCCTCTGGAGCTCTACTCTACAAATATTTTCAGTAATTCTTCACTTGGCTTCCAAATTAAACTTCCAACTCTATAGACTTCAGTGCTCTCCCAGGGCTTGGTCTTGCAGTGCTGACAGATTCGATGTTGGTGAACAAAAGGCAAGACCTCACAAAGCACTCAAAAGTAGTTCATTTCTAGAAATCTAGAACTTGATAAATTAAACAAAATTACTATTAGACTCAATACAAATTCAGCTGTTCCCAGGCAAGAATGACCAACTGCTCCATAATGCTGCCTCAAAAATGGCAGGAACATCTGTTCAGGACTGGAAGAAAGAAACTAATAATGTTGTCACTTTCACAAAACCCTGCAGATCAGTACTCAAAAAGAAACTTCCACAGACATGATAAAACAGACAATAACATCCTCAAAATAGACTACTCCTCACTTTATTGTCCATACGCTGAAGCCACATTTAAAAAATAGTCCTTTCATTTTAACTTTTTATGACAGATCTAAAGGTAATGACATATTCACGTACTGCATAAAATCAGAAGGCCACCTTCTGGTTCAAAGGCAAGGGTAATTGTTCTAGAGATACCTGAAATTCACCTTTATTTTGGAATTGTCTTCTTGAACTTCTTTGATATCTATGAATAAACCTCAACAGCATGACGTGCGGCAAGATTCCTGCGCTCTTGACCCCATTTCAGCAGATGTGTAGTTCAACTTAGCGTTGTACTGTGGTCTAACACTAGTAACTACA